GACTGTATTGGACAGTGATGAGCAGTGCCTGGTTTCTCCACACTACCGCTTAGAATTAAGGCCAAAAAGTTCTATCTTGGTCTCATCAGACCAGAGGATCTTATTTATCCATCTTGGAGTCCTTCAGGTGTTTTTTAGCAAACTCCATGCGGGCTTCATGTGTCTTGCACTGAGAGAGGCTTCCGTCGGGCCACTCTGCCATAAAGCCCAACTGGTGGATTGCTGCAGTGATGGTTGACTTACTACAACTTTCTCCCATCTCCCGACTGCATCTCTGGAGCTCAGCCACAGTGACCTTTGGGTTCTTCTTTACCTCTCTCACCAAGGCTCTTCTCCCCCGATAGCTCAGTTTGGCCGGACGGCCAGCTCTAGGAAGGGTTCTGGTCGTCCCAAACGTCTTCCATTTGAGGATTATGGAGGCCACTGTGCTCTTAGGAACCTTAAGTGCAGCAGAAATTTTTTTGTAACCTTGGCCAGATCTGTGCCTTGCCACAGTTCTGTCTCTGAGCTCTTCAGGCAGTTCCTTTGACCTCATGATTCTCATTTGCTCTGACATGCACTGTGAGCTGTAAGGTCTTATATAGACAGGTGTGTGGCTTTCCTAATCAAGTCCAATCAGTATAATCAAACACAGCTGGACTCAAATGAAGGTGTAGAACCATCTCAAGGATGATCAGAAGAAATAGACAGCACCTGAGTTAAATATGAGTGTCACGGCAAAGGGTCTGAATACTTATGACCATGTGATATTTCAGTTTTCTTTTTTAATAAATTTGCAAAAATTTATACATTTCTGTTTTTTTCTGTCAAGATGGGGTGCTGAGTGTACATTACTGAGAAATAAAATGAACTTTTTTGATTTTTGGAAAATGGCTGCAATGAAACAAAGAGTGAAAAATTTAAAGGGGTCTGAATACTTTCCGTACCCACTGTATACAACAGTCCTCAAAGTTAAATCTCAAACTATTTTATTCTCAATTTCAGTACAAACATTTGGCTTTATGTATTAATATAATATTAAGTATGTAGTGAGGAAAAGTGAGTTATCATGACATATGAGTTGCCTATTTAGTTTTTTTCTCTGCCCTTAAATCTCAAGCATACAAAAGTCATAGAAGTCATAGTTTGTCAGAATGGTCTGTGTATTGATGTGCACAATGAAACACACCTAAATTAAAGGAGATATTGAAAGCATCTAATTGGATCCATCCCCCCTCTCTTTTTCTTAGATCACAAGATGAAGACACACAATCAAGCCCATGCAGACCAGAGAGTAACCCTGAGGTGGACAGTCTTTGTGTTTATGACAATGATTTTGTGGAAGAAATGCGCAGACAGACCAGAGCTCAACCAAACCAGAACACCGAAGCAGCCCGCCAAAGAGACGGCGAAATACAGCCACTGGCAAAGGTGCAGCGATTGTGACAAATGCAAAGAATTATGTGGTTCACAACAGACCATCACTTATTACATGCATAAAACACCTGTAAAAATACTACACATGGATCAGAATAGAAGCCAGCAAAAACCAAATTCATCAAATCCAATCAGAAATGATCAGAAATCAGTAGTTTATGGCTTTTTGTAACTGGTGCCGTTGATGTTTCTGCCTCAACACACTGAGCGTAACTTTCAAGTCATTCGATTTTCTTTCTCCTGCTGCTTGTGTTGCTCAAGCATTGAGAAATATTAAAACCATACTTTTAACTTCCCACGGGGAGTTCCTTGCAACATAGATGACTATCAAAATTTCAGATCAGAGAATATCTGCTGCTGGTCTCACATAGTAAGGTCCCCACTTTAGTGCATTGATAAAAAAATTATTTGGTTAAAATAATTGATGTACACACTTTGTTTTTATACATTTCCTTCAGATTTGAGTATGGCTAGTTGTATAGATATTTAGACTTGAAGTGTCATTTATACTGACAGGTTTTGTAAAAGAACTTGAATTACACACAGTAGCCAGTATGTCCATGTTTATTTCATGTTGCAGTATTAACTGATTCTAATGTAAATATCGTTAATATATATATATATAGCAGCTAACCATAACACCATCCTGTTGCTGAAACCACAAATGTGAAATCTCAATTTTGTTTCTAGTAATGATGCCACACTGGACTGGAAATGTCTATTTTAAAAATAATTTAGAATCTGAAATGATGACTTATTTCCTGAGCTTGGGGTGTAGGTGTAATGTAAGGTGACTGCAGGGTCATGGCTTGATTACATTCTGACCTAATGATCATGATCAGAGTTTATTGCAACACAGCTCTGATGGGAGGAGGTCTGTTATTAACACACTCAATACAAAAGTCAACACGAGCTTCAGTTTTGCATTTTAGTTAATATTAACCCACTGATGTATGCTCATTTCTCAGTGTAGAATGAGTGGCAGTGTGTCACATAGGGCTTGATTGTGGCTCACTGTTTCCGGTTGATCCTGCCTAATCTTTGAACTCGCAAGTTATGTATTGGTTGTTTTGATGAAAGGCATCGTAAGGCAAACAACAGCAACAAGGAGCTTTTTTTTTTTCTTTAAAGCCTGGACAATTTTGACAACATTGACTATTTAGGTAAGTAAATATGTTTATATATTTACAGATCCGTTTTGCTGTTGAAATTCCATGTCTGTTGTTTGGAATCCGAGCTCAAGAGCTGCCTTCGGCTTATTTGTTTTGGAATAGTAATGTGATCTGAGTCATGAAAAGCCATTTTGCTAATTAACTTTATCAGTTCTTCTACAAAATAGAAGGAGGCTGCAAACACAACTGAGTTATTAACAGTATCTACAAGATTGCTGAGCAAAACCTTAAAATGCTGATTTGACTTTTTTAAAATCACTAATGTCTTTGACCAGATACTTTTAAGGTATATTCACATACAGTATGAACAGGTCCGCTAACCTTAATACACCTCTAACTGCACCAACCATTTAAATCACAGGGACTTTAAGAGTATGTGGTTGTTCAAGCGTGTTTAATACTCCCTCATAATCTCCGATCATCATGAGGTGTCAGAAACGCACATCATGCATACTGACTTCACTGATTCGTCACCGTTGTCACTGGTATAAAACTATAAAATAATCTGTAATTTACAACCACCTGGTTATGTTATTTTGTAAATTTTGATTCCTCTTCCTTTGGTTTAGATCCACAATGGAGTCAGTGGTACAGAGTGAGCTCATTCTCGCAGTTTACATCATCTCTTTCCTGTTAGGCCTGCCAGCCAACCTGCTGGCTTTCTATGCCTTCTGTGTCAAGATCCATTCCAATCCCCTTCCAACAGATATCCTGCTACTCAATCTGACGGTCTCTGACCTGATCTTCTTGATCATCCTTCCTCTAAGATGCATGAGGCAGCGTCAGGCATGAAATGGAATTTGCCCGAGTTCCTGTGCTCCATCACCGCCTTCACCTTCTTCTCCACGATCTACACCAGCTCCTTGCTGCTGATGGCAGTGAGTGTGGTTCGCTACATTGCAGTAGCTTTCCCGATCACGTATCATACGCTGTGCAGACCAGTGTACGCGATAGTTATCAGTGTTGTTATTTGGCTAATCTCAGCCGCACACTGCAGCATTACTATCATTATCCAGCACCATCCATCCCTGTCCAGAAATGACACCACTTACTGCTATGAGAACTTCACAGAGACGCAGTTGAAGGTTCTGCTCCCAGTACGTTTGGAGTTTCTTTGTGCTCTGTCTTATTCCACTACTAATTTGTATTTACTGCTACTCACGCTGCATCTTAATCCTGTACAGCCGTGCCAGGATAACTCAATGCAGAAGCAGAAGGCCATCGGCATGGCCTCGGGGACTTTAGCTGTGTTTCTCATTTGTGTGCTGCCATATAACATTTCTCATTTACTGGGTTACTTCCAGGGTAAAAGCCCACAATGGAGGTACTACACCTTGCTGCTTAGCACCTTCAACACCTGTATTGATCCCATCATCTTCTACTTTTCCCCTCCTCTTTCCACTGCACTAGTCAAAAGTCAATTTTCAGGAAGCGTGGACACAATGTTTCAGATGCACAAAAGCAGACCACAAGCTCTAGCTAAGAGCAATATACACGCTGACTTTAATACAATATGTACATATCCAGCTTCAACATTATTATTGTACTTTATATTAAGGACATCAGAATGTGTAATGCAGAACAAGCGGCTTTGACAGTCCAGCTCATTTATAAAAAATTGTCTCTCATCCAGGTTTTGCTGTCTACTGGTTGACAAAATATCTTGTTAGAGGTGATCTATTCCTGCTCAAAGGGACTGAGCTGCTTCAATCTCAAACCATTGTAGATCATTTTATGACAAAACCACAATACATGTTTGGTGCAAATGCAAGATTCCAAATTTTATTATTTTACAGTAAATTATCTTGTTTTGAATGGGAATTGATATCCTTTGCACCCTTGACACATTATTTCCTGTTTACTTTAACGCGGGCCAGTCACTCTTCTGCACTCATGCATTCTGTAGGCACACATGTAGAATATACCTGCAAAACAAAACATAGGTTAGCTGTAAAGGCCTTTTCTATAGTACACAAACATATCAAGTAAGATAATGGCACAATAACAAAATTGCTTTTGAGTGTAAATCTTATTGATGTTTTAGTTTGAAAATATGTATTGGGCATTTTCATGAGCATGTGCAAAGCTGAAGAGACTGTAATAACTCACAATACACATCAGAAACTTTAGTAAATACTGTAAATAAACTGTCATAAAAATGAAAGTGTTTGTGTGACAGCATTGTATTTGTGATTTTTAGAATTGTTTTTCCAGATTTGACAGCGCTGTTGTGAGAATTTGGAATATTAACTGTAAAAATTTCAACTGATTTTGTTCACTACCAGCAAGATAATTACATTACATTGAACTCTACTGCTCTCCTTCATTTGAACAAACCTGCAAAGAAGGTCATGAGCAGTGCCACCCAGCCTAGTATGTAGGACCAAGAGAAGCGCCAGTCACCAAAGCGCTTGCCCAGGAAGTTCACCGTCACCCCGGTGTAAATTGCCATTGCAAGCAGAACAAAGAGAGCTGGCATGGTGCACAGAGAGTGAAACATATTAAAATGAATATCTATAATAGTAAAGGTCATCTCACTTGGAAGTCACCTGGTGCACCCACAGAGTTTCTATTGTAGGCCTTGCGAACTTTGTCTGATATTTACATAAAATGCAAATTCACTTAATAGTACATCATTTATGGCAGATGTGATGTAAAAAAAATCAGTACAATATTATCTGGTTACTGTATTCATAACTTACTTGAAACAAAGAACATGATCCCAGCAGCAAATGAGCGGTTGAACCTCTCAAAGGCTGAGAAGTGGGCAAAGGAGAGGATTCCTGCAATGATGCCAGCAAAGCATGACATGGCAGAGAGGATCATGAAAGCACGAGTGGCATTCCAATAAGCTGAGAGGAGTAAAACAAGTGAGAGAACATGTTATAAACATAAATGAAAAAATATAATGTTATTTGATATGAACAGGTTCATACTAAAAAGCACTCAATGTAATTTGAAATCTTGCTGGAAATGAATCTATTTCCTAATATTTCTACTGAACTGCACTGCAGGAGTCACACAGCAGCAATCATTAACTCTGCCATGCAGTTTGAAGGCAGACAATCCTTAAACAGTGAAGGTTTTTAAGGGAAATGTGTAGTCTACTGTCTTCAAATGGTCAAGTTGCACAAGAAGCGCATTTTGCGGGATTTAAAGTTTCCATTTAATTCAGAGGAACTTTTCTAAATTTTACATCACAACTGTTTATCTGGTGAAATGAGCAGTTCCCGTTTGATGCAACACTATAACTTCCCACAACTATACTGAGTAGAGAAGCATATTTCCACCTAAGGTGCAAAATTTAGATGATTTAGAAATTTGTATATTTTTGTACCAAAATCTCTTATTTCTCTCTCGGAGAAACAGATCTTTTAAATGAGAACTTTTTATACTAAATCACATAGTGTTGTATCACTTTTACTTAAATAAAAGAGAGGGATCCCTCCTCTGTTCCTGAGGTTTCTTCCCTCCATGTTTTCCTGTTAAAGCAGTGGTTCTCAAACTGGGTGGCATAGTGCCACTGCAGGAGGGGCATGGATGTTGAGCAGACCTAAAGTTGAATGAATGTGATTTATGTGGTGGTATAAAAAAGGGCTCTGATGCAAGTAGGGTTATTTTGCTAACCTGAATCTTTTGTTTTATTTCAATCGCCCCCATTGTTAATGATTGATAAAATGAAATCCACTTTTTGTAGAGTCTGGGGTGTGAACATTTTTCACGCAAATAGTATCACTGCTGTTTGTTATTGAGTTTTTTTTAATGACGTTCTTATTCCACATATTTGTGAGTTGTGTACAAACAGAGTGACAGAGAGGCACAGACACAGACAGGCAGGAGAGAAGATAATGGTTCTTTTAACTTCAACGCCCTCTTATCCGGGAAGATGTAAAAAGCTTAATTTATGAGGTTATTATAAAGATATAAACTCTAACGTTACATGTGATTAGAAAAGAGCAGAGGAGCAGAATCGCTTAGAAAGTAACCTGGCTGAGGGGGAAGAGGAGGTAAAATGCTGCCTCCCATTGTTTGGGGTATGTGGCCCGGAATTCCACGTTGTACCTTTAAGCAAGATTTTGAATGCATGACTTCACTTGGAGCATGAACACACACCTACCTCCTGGTAACTTTCTAGGTAATGTTAATTCTGCGGCGCATGCACTCGCTTTTTTTCCATCCTTCTATGATCTGCTCCTCTCATTACAGTTTGGCAGCAATGAAACAATGAATAGTCACATTTAACAATCTGCGACACAAAGACAATATAACTTAACGATACTTTATCAACTTAATGCAAATTTGCGTATGGAACTATGTCGATTTGCAGTCCCTTGAAATGAAACATTACTCTTGTCAGTCATGATCTTGACCATGATGACAACTATTTGGGAGAATGCCAGGTGCAATTAATCTGGCACAATCATTGGTCAAACTCGTCTTCTTTAGCTTTTCGGCAGGCAGTTCACTGCCGCCTCCAGCTGTTAGACTTGGGTACTGCACGTGCACAATTGAACTCAGTGTTGTCAGCAGCATTTTGGGTAGTTTAGAGTGACAAATTTTTAACAGGGTACTTTGATTTCAAAATAAGTATATGCTACACAAAATCCACAGAGGTTGGCAGGTCTGCAAGGTATCTCTGACACTTGAACATCATGTAGAAAATCCATGATATCAGAGAGGTTTGGTTACTTTAAAATAAGAGCATTTTTGTTTTTCTCTTTCTAGATGCCCCAGTAATCCTACCTGAGTCCTTCTGCCACCTGATGGGGGAAGTACTAAAGTGTGTCTGCCAAGCTGAGGCATCACCTAATGCCTCTATAGGCTGGACCATTGAAGGAAATGACACCTTTCCATCCTCCTTTAGCTTTGTCTCCAGAAATAAGAAAAATGTAGTCTCAGGGGAAATAAGCGGACCAACTAAAAGCCAGCCTAACATTTCTTGCACAGCCACGAACGCACTGGGCAGCAACACCAAACAGCTCTCTGTAGACATCTTGTCAAAAACATGTACGTTACTGTACACTTACGGTAATTTGTTATCCCAAGCTACATTCAAAAGCAGAACCATTCATCATATTTACTAATTAAGCTATTTTCCTTTTACAGTCTCTTTGCCCATGTGGTTGTCAGCATTAATGCTCCTGGGGACTGCTTTGTTGTTTGGTTGTGCAGTGTTCATTTACAGAAAATATTCAAGAGGCAGGTTGGTAGACTGAATTCCTTGTCATACAGAACGACTGTGCTGCTACCTGCAGCTAAGATTAATCTTTTTATTGTTGTTATATTACCCATAGACCAACACCGGAGTTTGTGTGCAACACTAACATTATTTTAAGGTATGAAACCATGTTTATAGTTGACAATGATTTATTTCAAATTTGCTGAATTCAGATCACATTTTTGTGTCTTTTTTGAAGGTCACAAATTTTATTAGAGAATGTCCAACAGGAACAAGTATACAACAGTCCTCAAAGGTAAATCTCAAACTATTTTATTCTTAATTTCAGTGCAAACATTTGGCTTTATGTATTAATATAATAAGTATGTAGTGAGGAAAAGTGAGTTATTCATGACATACGAGTTGCCTATTTAGTTTTTTTCTCTGCCCTTAAACCTCAAGCATACAAAAGTCATAGAAGTCATAGTTTGTCAGAATGGTCTGTGTATTGATGTGCACAATGAAACACACCTAAATTAAAGGAGATATTGAAAGCATCTAATTGTCATGGGTTGGGGCGCTGAGTGCAGACTGGGGCGAGGACCCAAATGCAGACAATGGAAAGGCGAGGAGGTTGCAGTCCAAAAATGTTTATTAACTCAAAAAAGCTTACAAGGAGCTCGAGGCAAAGTCCAACAAAGGTAGAACACAAGGCAATCCAAAACACAGGGAATAATCCAGAACTAGGAAGACAAGGAACAGGCAGGAACACTCAACTTTAGACGCAAGGACGTGACAAAGACTGGAGAGACAAGCAGGCATAAATAAACACAGGGACTAACGAGCAGGGCGGGAGCAACACAGGTGAGCAGGATCAGGGCTAACAAGGCAGAGAGACAGCAGGGGGAAACAGAGAGAACACTAAACAAGCAGACATGGGGCAGAGTGAATAACCAAGAAGACAGAAACACACAAGTTACAAAGAACCAGAACCTAAATGAGAACACAGAACTAGAACACAGAGTACAGAGGAGACCAAATCACAAAAATACAAACAAGGACCAGGAATGATTACCAAAACATGAACTAAGGACATGGAACTAAACTCAGACTCCCAAACAAGACACACAGACAGAATCACAACACTAATTGGATCCATCCCCCCTCTCTCTTTTTCTTAGATCACAAGATGAAGACACACAATCAAGCCCATGCAGACCAGAGAGTAACCCTGAGGTGGACAGTCTTTGTGTTTATGACAATGATTTTGTGGAAGAAATGCGCAGACAGACCAGAGCTCAACCAAACCAGAACACCGAAGCAGCCCGCCAAAGAGACGGCGAAATACAGCCACTGGCAAAGGTGCAGCGATTGTGACAAATGCAAAGAATTATGTGGTTCACAACAGACCATCACTTATTACATGCATAAAACACCTGTAAAAATACTACACATGGATCAGAATGGAAGCCAGCAAAAACCAAATTCATCAAATCCAATCAGAAATGATCAGAAATCAGTAGTTTATGGCTTTTTGTAACTGGTGCCGTTGATGTTTCTGCCTCAACACACTGAGCGTAACTTTCAAGTCATTCGATTTTCTTTCTCCTTCTGCTTGTGTTGCTCAAGCATTGAGAAATATTAAAACTATACTTTTAACTTCCCACGGGGAGTTCCTTGCAACATAGATGACTATCAAAATTTCAGATCAGAGAATATCTGCTGCTGGTCTCACATAGTAAGGTCCTTACATTGCTTAAAAATGTATGTGGTTAAAATAATTGATGTACACACTTTGTTTTTATACATTTCCTTCAGATTTGAGTATGGCTAGTTGTATAGATATTTAGACTTGAAGTGTCATTTATACTGACAGGTTTTGTAAAAGAACTTGAATTACACACAGTAGCCAGTATGTCCATGTTTATTTCCTGTTGCAGTATTAACTGATTCTAATATCGCTGACAGGAAGGAAATATTCAAGATTTTCCCCGGCTACAGAAAACAGCTGTAGGCTAAAAGCCTATAGTGTAAATAGCAGCTAACCATAACACCATCCTGTTGCTGAAACCACAAATGTGAAATCTCAATTTGGTTTCTAGTAATGATGCCACACTGGACTGGAAATGTCTATTTTAAAAATAATTTAGAATCTGAAATGATGACTTATTTCCTGAGCTTGGGGTGTAGGTGTAATGTAAGATGACTGCAGGGTCATGGCTTGATTACATTCTGACCTAATGATCATGATCAGAGTTTATTGCAACACAGCTCTGATGGGAGGAGGTCTGTTATTAACACTCAATACAAAACACGAGCTTCAGTTTTGCATTTTAGTTAATATTAACCCACTGATGTATGCTCATTTCTCAGTGTAGAATGAGTGGCAGTGTGTCACATAGGGCTTGATTGTGGCTCACTGTTTCCGGTTGATCCTGCCTAATCTTTGAACTCGCAAGTTATGTATTGGTTGTTTTGATGAAAGGCATCGTAAGGCAAACAACAGCAACAAGGAGCTTTTTTTTTTCTTTAAAGCCTGGACAATTTTGACAACATTGACTATTTAGGTAAGTAAATATGTTTATATATTTACAGATCCGTTTTGCTGTTGAAATTCCATGTCTGTTGTTTGGAATCCGAGCTCAAGAGCTGCCTTCGGCTTATTTGTTTTGGAATAGTAATGTGATCTGAGTCATGAAAAGCCATTTTGCTAATTAACTTTATCAGTTCTTCTACAAAATAGAAGGAGGCTGCAAACACAACTGAGTTATTAACAGTATCTACAAGATTGCTGAGCAAAACCTTAAAATGCTGATTTGACTTTTTTAAAATCAGTAATATCTTTGACCAGATACTTTTAAGGCATATTCACATACAGTACAGAGACTTTAAGAGTATGTGGTTGTTCAAGCGTGTTTAATACTCCCTCATAATCTCCGATCATCATTAGGTGTCAGAAACGCACATCATGCATACTGACTTCACTGATTCGTCACCGTTGTCACTGGTATAAAACTATAAAATAATCTGTAATTTACAACCACCTGGTTATGTTATTTTGTAAATTTTGATTCCTCTTCCTTTGGTTTAGATCCGCAATGGAGTCAGTGGTGCAGAGTGAGCTCATTCTCGCAGTTTACATCATCTCTTTCCTGTTAGGCCTGCCAGCCAACCTGCTGGCTTTCTATGCCTTCTGTGTCAAGATCCATTCCAATCCCCTTCCAACAGATATCCTGCTACTCAATCTGACAGTCTCTGACCTGATCTTCTTGATCATCCTTCCTCTAAAGATGTATGAGGCAGCGTCAGGCATGAAATGGAATTTGCCCGAGTTCCTGTGCTCCATCACCGCCTTCACCTTCTTCTCCACGATCTACACCAGCTCCTTGCTGCTGATGGCAGTGAGTGTGGTTCGCTACATTGCAGTAGCTTTCCCGATCACGTATCATACGCTGTGCAGACCAGTGTACGCGATAGTTATCAGTGTTGTTATTTGGCTAATCTCAGCCGCACACTGCAGCATTACTTTCATTATCCAGCACCATCCATCCCTGTCCAGAAATGACACCACTTACTGCTATGAGAACTTCACAGAGACGCAGTTGAAGGTTCTGCTCCCAGTACGTTTGGAGTTTTTCTTTGTGCTCTGTCTTATTCCACTACTAATTTGTATTTACTGCTACTCACGCTCCATCTTAATCCTGTACAGCCGTGCCAGGATAACTCGAATGCAGAAGCAGAAGGCCATCGGCATGGCCTCGGGGACTTTAGCTGTGTTTCTCATTTGTGTGCTGCCATATAACATTTCTCATTTACTGGGTTACTTCCAGGGTAAAAGCCCACAATGGAGGTACTACACCTTGCTGCTTAGCACCTTCAACACCTGTATTGATCCCATCATCTTCTACTTTTCCTCCTCCTCTTTCCACTGCACTAGTCAAAAGTCAATTTTCAGGAAGCGTGGACACAATGTTTCAGATGCACAAAAGCAGACCACAAGCTCTAGCTAAGAGCAATATACACGCTGACTTTAATACAATATGTACATATCCAGCTTCAACATTATTATTGTACTTTATATTAAGGACATCAGAATGTGTAATGCAGAACAAGCGGCTTTGACAGTCCAGTTCATTTATAAAAAATTGTCTCTCATCCAGGTTTTGCTGTCTACTGGTTAACAAAATATCTTGTTAGAGGTGATCTATTCCTGCTCAAAGGGACTGAGCTGCTTCAATCTCAAACCATTGTAGATCATTTTATGACAAAACCACAATACATGTTTGGTGCAAATGCAAGATTCCAAATTTTATTATTTTACAGTAAATTATCTTGTTTTGAATGGGAATTGATATCCTTTGCACCCTTGACACATTATTTCCTGTTTACTTTAACGCGGGCCAGTCACTCTTCTGCACTCATGCATTCTGTAGGCACACATGTAGAATATACCTGCAAAACAAAACATAGGTTAGCTGTAAAGGCCTTTTCTATAGTACACAAACATATCAAGTAAGATAATGGCACAATAACAAAATTGCTTTTGAGTGTAAATCTTATTGATGTTTTAGTTTGAAAATATGTATTGGGCATTTTCATGAGCATGTGCAAAGCTGAAGAGACTGTAATAACTCACAATACACATCAGAAACTTTAGTAAATACTGTAAATAAACTGTCATAAAAATGAAAGTGTTTGTGTGACAGCATTGTATTTGTGATTTTTAGAATTGTTTTTCCAGATTTGACAGCGCTGTTGTGAGAATTTGGAATATTAACTGTAAAAATTTCAACTGATTTTGTTCACTACCAGCAAGATAATTACATTACATTGAACTCTACTGCTCTCCTTCATTTGAACAAACCTGCAAAGAAGGTCATGAGCAGTGCCACCCAGCCTAGTATGTAGGACCAAGAGAAGCGCCAGTCACCAAAGCGCTTGCCCAGGAAGTTCACCGTCACCCCGGTGTAAATTGCCATTGCAAGCAGAACAAAGAGAGCTGGCATGGTGGACAGAGAGTGAAACATATTAAAATGAATATCTATAATAGTAAAGGTCATCTCACTTGGAAGTCACCTGGTGCACCCACAGAGTTTCTATTGTAGGCCTTGCGAACTTTGTCTGATATTTACATGAAATGCAAATTCACTTAATAGTACATCATTTATGGCAGATGTGATGTAAAAAAAAATCAGTACAATATTATCTGGTTACTGTATTCATAACTTACTTGAAACAAAGAACATGATCCCAGCAGCAAATGAGCGGTTGAACCTCTCAAAGGCTGAGAAGTGGGCAAAGGAGAGGATTCCTGCAATGATGCCAGCAAAGCATGACATGGCAGAGAGGATCATGAAAGCACGAGTGGCATTCCAATAAGCTGAGAGGAGTAAAACAAGTGAGAGAACATGTTATAAACATAAATGAAAAAATATAATGTTATTTGATATGAACAGGTTCATACCAAAAAGCATTCAATGTAATTTGAAATCTTGCTGGAAATGAATCTATTTCCTAATATTTCTACTGAACTGCACTGCAGGAGTCACACAGCAGCAATCATTAACTCTGCCATGCAGTTTGAAGGCAGACAATCCTTAAACAGTGAAGGTTTTTAAGGGAAATGTGTAGTCTACTGTCTTCAAATGGTCAAGTTGCACAAGAAGCGCATTTTGTGGGATTTAAAGTTTCCATTTAATTCAGAGGAACTTTTCTAAATTTTACATCACAACTGTTTATCTGGTGAAATGAGCAGTTCCCGTTTGATGCAACACTATAACTTCCCACAACTATACTGAGTAGAGAAGCATATTTCCACCTAAGGTGCAAAATTTAGATGATTTAGAAAATAAATCTGTTTCTTGTTGTACCAAAATCTCTTATTATTTCTCTCTCGGAGAAACAGATCTTTTAAATGAGAACTTTTTATACTAAATCACATAGAGTTGTATCACTTTTACTTAAATAAAAGAGAGGGATCCCTCCTCTGTTCCTGAGGTTTCTTCCCTCCATGTTTTCCTGTTAAAGCAGTGGTTCTCAAACTGGGTGGCATAGTGCCACTGCAGGAGGAGCATGGATGTTGAGCAGACCTAAAGTTGAATGAATGTGATTCATGTGGTGGTATAAAAAAGGGCTCTGATGCAAGTAGGGTTATTTTGCTAACCTGAATCTTTTGTTTTATTTCAATCGCCCCTATTGTTAATGATTGATAAAATGAAATCCACTTTTTCTGGAGTCTGGGGTGTGAACATTTTTCACCTTCTAAAGGGAGGCGTGACAAGAAAAGTTTGAGAACCACTGTGTTAAAGGGTTTTTTAGTGGGGGGTCGGGGACGGGGGGAGTATTTCCTCATTCAGATCGAGGGTCTGAAGGACAAAGGGTGTTGTATGCTGTACAGATTGTAAAGCCCCTTGAGGCTAATTGAAATGTGATGATGTGTAATGTTGGGCTATATAAATAAAATTGACTTGACTTCATGAACAAATACCTGCAAATACCTGACATTCCCATCAGTCTCCGCTGTACTTTGTGTTTAATACTAATTAGCAGATTGCAGCATGCACACATGCTTTAAATGGTAAACATGGTAAACATACCTGCTTAGCATCCACATGTTAGCATTGTCATTGTGAGCATGCTAGCATAATGACATTAGCATGTAGCTCAAAGCACCACAGTGCCTAAACACAGCCTCACAGAGTTGCTAGCATGGCTGTAGACTTATGTGAATGGTGTGAATAGATAACCATTGTTGCTATCGTTCTAGTCTGCCTGTATGCACTTCTCATCTTATGAAAGTCAGCTCAATAAATTCTTGCAACTGTATCTCTAGTTTGGACAGTCAGAATAATCACAGTTGTATTCATATATATATGAATACAACTAGACTCTTGTGAGAGTTACTGTGCCTCAGGAAGACACAAAGGACATCTTTAAGGGTCCAAAAGATAATGTCCCACTTACCAATGCTGTCTGTCTGCATGTAGCACTTGCCAGACATGCAGTACCTCCACAGGCCTTGATGGGCAAAGCTGCCAGACAGACGATACTGCATCCAGTAGTCTGTGGCTGTGGAGACCACCAACAAGATGTTCCCCACAATGGCACAAAATAGGCCCCCTCCCATGAAGCTGTACATCATGAGTGACACTATGAAATTGGGTAAGGCTTTATGTGCTGTGCAAAAAGAAAAAAAGATGTGAGTCAATGGAACCTTTAGTAATGAAGTTAGTATTTTTTTATTGCAGGGTTTGTAGCTCTAGTTTTAGTTTTCAGCAGTAAATGGATTGAGGAGACAGGAATGGTCTGAAGGAGTGGATGCAGAGGCACAAAATATTGTACACATCTAGAAGCTGCCAATGCAGTTGGTCTGCTGTGATGTTGGCCAGCATCGCCACTGGTGAACAGAGGCTTATCTTTGAGCTATACATTTAGGGCCCCATGATTTAAGTATCTGATGAAGGGAAGATATTAATTTATATTTCCTGCATACATTTACCCAGCAGGACTGGGACCTTAAACCAACATCCTTCCTGGCACACACCATCTTCTCTAACCACAACTTCACGTCATGGCAACAGTGTTGAATTTATACCCCGACATTTCCTCCAACAAAGGTGACTCATTTTTGTAAACTATTTGTGAGTGGGCAAAGGCTCAGAAATATCTTATCAATTCAGTTTTTTTTGGCGTATATATATATACATATATATAGCTGTAACAACAAAGCACATAACTTGTTATGAAAGCTGCTGACCTGGACAGAGTAATCCAACCACAATACAACTGTCTCATAGCAACACGTCTCTCGATTTTAACATTTTTTTAATACTCACTGCTGCAGTTAAACAAGCCATAAATAAATACATTTGCTAGTCTAACCAGTAAAACCAAAAACGGAAATGGCCTAAGAACACCACAGTCAACTCACACACAACACTGCTGTGAAAGATGGTGACCCCTGACATAAACGAAGCCTTGAATATGGCATACATTTTTGTGAATTAGTCTAACTCCTCAAAGATAACCCATATGCAGCCGCACAGACTGTAATGAGACATAATCTGCTTTTTTTAATGTATGAAAGTATGAAATAAATTTATGTGAACTAGCCAAAGAAATCAGCATTTCAAAGCAGAACATGTCAAACATGTCAATTGGGTAAAAAAAGCTTGAAGCTATTGGAGACAACACACACACTCTTTATTGAAGGGTCTGAGCACCACAGCTTTATCTGTACAAATGAATGGAATCAGATAAATCTTGAATCTCATGTTTGAAATCTGAGAAATGTTTCATGTATTGAATAAGAACAATCTATGGGTAATGGTGAAGGCCCTCTAGGCCTACCTGTGAGACATTCATTCACCTGACACGCATCCCATGATATGAATTCTACTTCATTATTTTCACTCCCAATTATTTCCATAAAAGTGGCATCAACGGTTAACAAAAACCTGACATCATCTTACCTGAATTCCTTAGGATAAATTAACCCTCAGGTATAGGCCTTTCCTCAGGGAAAGAGTGAGAGAGAGTGCAAGCCAGGAGTGAGCAAAACGTCAAAGAGGAAGCTCTAGGCTGAATTCCAAAAAGTTATCCCCTCCACTTTTCTGTTGATGGAGGCAAAATCCTTTAAAACAATCAGCACAGAACAAATGCACTTGAGCTGGTGGGCCAAAAGCCATGTGACTCTTTCACACTGAACTACATGGGAGAATTTGGGGGGTCAGGGGAGATGGGGGAGGGTCTGGGATAGGAGGCTGCTACACCACAGTACTTGTCTGTTGTTCTACTAGGCATTCTGGAACGGTGGATGTGCAAAGGCTTGCAGTACTGCTGTTGTCAATGGAACATGCTGAAGCACACACTTTCTTTCAGTGTGGCTGGGGTGTGGTCATGGGGACACATACACGCTTAGAACAGACACATGACCAAAGAGCTGCTTGATAAAATGACTGTATACAGAGGATACATACGTACATGTTCACACTGAATATATAACAACGTTGTGGAAACAATTCTGGAAAATAAATAGTATTTACTATTTTATTAACACTGCAAGTTATTGGGCATGCGTCAACACAATTCACATGGCTTGCATATTTTGTTAAAATAGTCACAGCTTCTACTATGGATGGATTATTTAAGAAAATAAATCCAGTAATATCAGCACAGCTAATTCTACCTCAGATGGTATGTGTTAATATTCAGGGATCTCTGCCCTCTGGGACACCTGAGCAGTGATTTCACATTTTGTAATTAGTTGCCTAATTACTCTATCTACATAAGGGATTTTATAAGTAATTGGATTTATTTGACAGTACAATAACAGATGTAGCAATAAGTTTGCATTACCACTCTAGTAGTATCATGCTTACTCGTGTGGTTAATATTTGCACAAGTCACTTCCAGTGAAGCCATCCACTCCATTTCCTTATTCGTGTGAACAACATGCAATGTACCACGTACTCATTAGAAATAAACAATGACTTTTATGCCATAGCTGAGCTTGAAGGTGGTTGATGTGACATCTTGTTGTCTGTCATTGTCTGTTCAGGTACAACTACCATCTACACTAGGTTGCTGGCAGTGCAAAATATTCCACACACAAATGTTTTGTATATATTGTTGTTTAAGCAGAGGTGTTTAAATGCACATACTTGGAAAGTACTTGCCTGTAAATTGACATAGCTTAGTGTACCTAAGTCATATTGGAGGCGGATGGGAAACATATGATGGGATTTAGTGCATATCAGTACCATTTACAAAGGACTGAGAGCAATTGCAGGCATTCTTCATGCTGATCATATGTGATGTTTCCCAAACAGATAAGACACATTCTAAGTCAAACCTGCAGTTGACCATGTTTCCTCTGGGAGAGGCCTTTGAAGTAGTGTTCATACTCATTTAGGAGGTATTCACACTCTGCAGTGTTCACCCTGCCCTTGGTGCTGACTGATGTGTTTTCACTGACTTCTCGGATATTGAATATGATGATATGTGCACTCTGGTCAAAAGTGAGAATTCCAGCCTTCATGTTGTTTCACAAGACAGAGCTGGCAGGTGGTTCACCATCAGTTCCAGATGGCAAGAACACGATTGCACCAAACTGAACTGCTGTCTTGTTCAGAGAGATATACAGGTGCTGGTCATAGAATTAGAATATCATCAAAAAGTTGATTTATTTCAGTAATTCCATTCAAAAAGTGAAACTTGGATATTATATTCATTCATTACACACAGACTGATATATTTCAAAGGTTTATTTCATTTAATTGTGATGATTAAAACTGACAACTAATGGAAATCCCAAATTCAGTATCTCCGAAAATTAGAATATTACTTAAGACCAATAAAAAAAAAGGATTTTTCGAAATATTGGCCAACTGAAAATTATGAACATGGAAAGTATGAGCATGTACAGCACTCAATACTTAGTTGGGGCTCCTTTTGCCTGAATTACTGCAGGCATGGAGTGGCATGGAGTCGATCAGTCTGTGGCTCTACTCAGGTGTTATGAGAGCCCAGGTTGCTCTGATAGTGGCCTTTAGCTCTTCTGCATTGTTGGGTCTGGCATATCACATCTTCCTCTTCACAATACCCCATAGTTTTTCGATAGGGTTAAGGTCAGGCCAGTTTGCTGGCCAATTAAGAACAGGTATACCATGTTCCTTAAACCAGGTACTGGTAGCTTTGGCACTGTGTGCAGGTGCCAAGTCCTGTTGGAAAATGAAATCTGCATCTCCATAAAGTTGGTCAGCAGCAGGAAGCATGAAGTGCTCTAAAACTTCCTGGTAGACGGCTGCGTTGACCTTGGACCTCAGAAAACATAGTGGACCAACACCAGCAGATGACATGGCACCCCAAACCATCACTGACTCTGGAAACTTTACACTGGACTTCAAGCAACGTGGATTCTGTGCCTCTCCTCTCTTCCTCCAGACTCTGGGACCTTGATTTCCAAAGGAAATGCAAAATTTACTTTAATCAGAGAACATAACTTTGGACCACTCAGCAGCAGTCCAGTCCTTTTTGTCTTTAGCCCAGGTGAGACGCTTCTGACGCTGTGTCTTGTTCAAGAGTGGCTTGACACAAGGAATGCGACAGCTGAAACCCATGTCTTGCATACGTCTGTGCGTGGTGATTCTTGAAGCACTGACTCCAGCTGCAGTCCACTCTTTGTGAATCTCCCCCACATTTTTGAATGGGTTTTGTTTCACAATCCTCTCCAGGGTGCGGTTATCCCTATTGCTTGTACACTTTTTTCTACCACATCTTTTCCTTCCCTTCGCCTCTCTATTAATGTGCTTGGACACAGAGCTCTGTGAACAGCCAGCCTCTTTAGCAATGACCTTTTGTGTCTTGCCCTCCTTGTGCAAGGTGTCAATGGTCGTCTTTTGGACAGCTGTCAAGTCAGCAGTCTTCCCCATGATTGTGTAGCCTACAGAACTAGAACGAGAGACCATTTAAAGGCCTTTGCAGGTGTTTTGAGTTAATTAGCTGATTAGAGTGTGGCACCAGGTGTCTTCAATATTGAACCTTTTCACAATATTCTAATTTCTGAGATTCTGATTTTGGGGTTTTCATTAGTTGTCAGTTATAATCATCAAAATTAAAAAGAATGAACACTTGAAATATATCAGTCTGTGTGGAATGAATGTATACATTATAAAAGTTTCACTTTCTGAATGGAATTACTGAAATAAATAAACTTTTTGATGATATTCTAATTATATGACCAGCACCTGTAGAAATGACAGAAATTAGGGGATCTGAACTAACAAGGGAAATAAGACATGGAGACCCTGGTGATGCAATTGCGGAACATAACAAAGGTTTAACTAGGTTCACACATGGTCAACATTTCTATTCAGGCTGGATTTCATCTGTAACATCACACTTCCTACAATTACCACAAGCCCTTCCTCATTTCATCATCACAAGTGCACTTCCTCAAAGTGCAGTTTGAACACTGGATGGGAATCAGCTATTGTGTATGTTTTACCACTGATCAGATATCAAAATCTAGTATAAACCTTTTTTTACTGCAATGTTTACAAATCAAGCAGATAAACCTTTACAAGCATCAGAAAATGGAGATACACTTTTTAACGTTTATTTTTTACTGTATTATGAGACATACAAATGAATTCGGAAGTTCTAGCAGGTTTTTTTTCAATGCTGTTTTTTATTTTCCCACTGCATTTGGTTCAGGGCTAAGGCATTTATGGTGATGTGGCTAATGTTGACTTTTTTTAAATAAAACCTTGTAACTTCTTTCCATTTTATTAGTAAACAAATATTAGTATGAGTTAATGTCAAACAAAGATAAATTGAACAATTCAATTTCTGTAATCCTAACCACTGTTCAAAATCTTTATGTGATGGGATGGCTTACTCACTGCACAATAGCACCATCTGCTGTATATATATATATATATATATAGAAAACACATCAGGTCACGATGATAGAAATCTGAAAGCTACTTAAATGTGTTTCTCCTGAAAACAAAAACGAGACTGTCTGCATCAGGGTAATGGTGTGTACTGTAACACTGACTCACAGTTGACATTGAGGACTGTTTTCCAACCCAAGCCCACTAACTATCTTCCTCCATCACCGCTACTACAACTCCCAAATGAGAGGGAGGGAGGAACTGAGGGATAAATTAATCCACAATTAAATATTGTAAAGTAAAGGATCATCACAAGGTATGCATGTTAGAGAAAAGAACATCCATGGGGTTGCAAGCATTTATTTAAAAGGGAGAATTTACTTGTTTGCCCTTGAAAAGGTATGTTGATAGTTACCTGAGACTACAAGGCCACCATCTTCAGAAGAATATTTGTGATCATCAATTATTTCCATTGTGCTGTCCTGTTTTGTTAATGATCATACTACTGGGGACATTGTGAAGGAGTTCAGCTCTACCTTTACGTCTAAATGCCTTTTCTATCTTTGGACTGTGTTTGTGTGCTGCTAAAGATAAATATGTCATGTGAAGTAGCTTGGAATGCAGAAACCAAATCGTATCAACAGAGCTGTGTGTATCTGGGTGGGTTAGAGAACAAGGTTTGATCCAACGAGACCCTGTCAAGTTAGATACCTGACTCTGCAGAATAACTCTCCACTTGTCACCTACCACCACATCACTGGAAACAGAAAAGGAGCTGATCAAAGCCCAAGCAAATGAAAGCGAATGAAGGGATATAATCGTGAGATACACAGCATGAGGACTATGATGAGCACAACAGCATAATGTCCCTGGAGGAAACAAAACAGATCTGACATCCTTACAAATGCTTCATCTCGTTATCCACCCACTCATGACCAGGACTGAACCCACAGCAGCACAGTCAAAAACTATGCAAAGCTTAAAAATTATTTTGCCAGGAGAGCAAACCTGTGGGTGACAAAGGAAGTGAGGTCATCTGGAAAGCCCATGGTCATTATCTGTTTCATTAGGAGAAGCATAAGAAAACGTAAATGTTTTGATAATATATGATACTTATTATTCTAAGCTTGAAATAATGAAGTAGTGCATTTGAAGTGTAGACATCTTTCCATATTCTTCACATTCAATTGTAATTTAATACTATAACATAAAAAAAAATGAATGTCACTTGATCCAGTGTTTTCTGCACTGTCACTGCCTTTTCCATGTGTTGTCACACCAATCTTGTCCCTTTGTCACAACAACATACAATATGAAACTTAATCCTGCTGTATATATAAAATCCTACAGGCACTGAACTGTCAGGGAATTATTTAAGGAATAATCTGAAGATTACCTTATAATACAAAAATCAACATCTGGACACAAAACATCTCTGCCAAGTCATGATTATTGTTGACTGAAAGGAATTTTCATCCCCATCAGTGTCTTTAACCCATTTGCTTAGTTAACATATGCTGAGTATATAGGGTGCAGTCTAGCAGATTAAGCATGTATTAATGAATTTCTTTATTGGAACATACCTGCTTCAAAAGCGCATGTAGGTGTAGGTATTCCTGTAGGTATGTTGGGATTTAACAGATTGTGTCAAATGAAAGATGGTAAAACTACAATTTAAAAACATGCAACATACAACAAATATGGACACCTCTGTGATGAAACAATTATTCAATTGGCAGACAACAATTTCTTTTTCTTCTTCTTCTTCTTGTTATAATAATAATAATAATAATAATGAAACTATTTTAGTCACTGATCAAGTATAAATACTAGGGACATGGTTGACAAGTACAACGAATTCCTTGTTTTTATCAATTTTATAACATGAGTGTTATTAGACTATGTAACATGAACTGTTAATTTGTCTTTTACATTTTACAGAGTAATTGATTCCACATTTATTTTCCAATTGATCAAAAAAAGATTAATTGCAGCCCTAAAATACTATAAACTAAAGCTAAAAATACATTACCAAGAAGAACAAAAATAAGTTTTTATGTGTAAGTGCACATTATTTTCTAATAATATACTGAGCAAACGACATGAGAACAGCATGGTTACAGCTGTGTGAGAAATATTCTGAACTTGTAAAGTATATGTCCATATAGCTAAATACATTTCCAGGCATGGCTTATACTTTGTTATTGTGTAACAGTATTTATTTATAATAAATCAGAGTTTTTAAGTAGCATTGTTTTGTGTTTTCCCCATAGTGTCGTTTTCCCCGTACTACTCTTGATACTGGCTCCTGATTCATCACACACACCTGCAATTCATTCCCTAATCAACTCTGCAGTATATCTACCCTGGTTCTTTTTCAACTTGTTGTCAGATTGTTGTTTCATCCACTCAGGATCATGAGGCCCGAGTTTGCCTAATTAATTGTTACAGTTGCAGGTTATACAGAAGTGATTTAAAAAAAAAAAAATATCTATCTCCACTGAAATAAATGTATCACACAGATTAAATAATGATAAAATAAATAAAAATTGCATACATTTAAATATATACATTAAACTCCAAAAAGAAATGCTTTAAACAGTTGTAGCAACTCTGACAGGTGGTGGGGGGACAAAGGTGGGGAGTGTCACTGATCTCTCAGAGGGAGTCTGAAAGAAAACAGACAAACCAGCTGATTGACTGTAAAATCAACAAAAGTAAGTAGTCTAATCTTCCACCTAGGTATGTTTGATTAGAAAGGCTACCTGCTGTAACATGTTGTAATCAGGTGCAGACACCAGCCCTCCTGACAGCAGGTTACGAGGAGTTGTATCTATTTGGGTTGTGACTGCCTGTGAGTGAAAAGAAAGAAACTAAACCAAACACCGCAACAGGAGGCAGAATTCATTGTTCAGCAAGTAAATGAATACAATGTATGGCAGCTGCCATACCTCTGTCTGTCTGTCTCTCTCTCTATATATATCTATCTATCTATATCTATCTATCTCTCTATATATCTATATCAATATCTCTATATCTCTCTATCTCTATCTATATCTCTATATATATCTATATGAACATTTATTATGTAGGGCGGTGAAGTGATTCTAACCTTCTCAACTGCTCTGCACACTGGATATCTTGTCTGCGGTCCTAAAAAACACCACAACATAAAATAAAATAAAGAGTCAAATATGTATTACCATGTTTTAAGACTTTATCCAGATTTGGTGTTCAACAAGCATACTTACTCCTTTTGTTCTTGTTGCAGTAGACACAGAGGAAGATGAAGCCGCCCAGCAGGAGCAGCAAGAGAAGGCTGGAGGGGATTCCAGCTGCAATGGCAGGGCCACGCAGCCCTTCATCTAGGCTCACTAGGACAAACAGTAAGCAATGATTTTACTGCTGTTTCACCATCACTAACTCTGTGATAAGAAATACAATGCTTTAAAAACACAGACAATCTTGACACTTTGCCATACCTGGACCAATTATTTGGACCTCAGATGGCTCTCCTTCAGTCATTCTAGCTTTGGGGATGATTCGAAACATATACGTCGACATGGGATCAAGATCAAAGATGTCTGTGCTCCTGTCTGAGCCAGGTCTCTGCTGGATGGTGTGGAATTTGTTAGAGCTGACTCTAGTTTGGGTGCCATATCCATCTTTGCTCAGGAGATCTGGTCCTTTCATTTGGATGTCAAACCCTTTGAGAAAGCACATGGAAACATTACTGTTATACTATGTACATACAAACAGACAGAGGAGGAGGCATAACAAAACCTGACATTTGTTTTTCTCAGTACTTTTGTCCATAAAATATTTAGTCACAAAAAACAGCGCTACTCATCTAGAGGCTCATACGTCACATTATATTTACACCCCTATCTTCTGTATTGTTTGGTTTTCAAAACTGTACGGCATTATTCCTGAGGGTTCTGCTGAGATGTACAAATTTAAAACAATACAGGTGTGTGGTGGTTTTAAGAGATATTCTTGTCAAATCAACCTGGAGTTTTCCAGAGCTGCCTTCCTAGATTTAATTACCATTTTACCTGTAACAACAGAGGTAGGCGGGACCTCCCACATCAATGTGGCGATGGTTCCATTTTGATTAGGGAACAAACTGGAATTTGAGATGGACGGTCCTGGAAAGAGAGGGACTGTGAGCGAGAGGGAGATCAAGAGAGGGCAGGAGAGGGGGGTGAGGGTATACCAAGAATGGAGAGCTTTGTTTAAAGGAAAAGAGCAACCTCAGGTACTTAGCTCTTTCTGAGAGCCCACTGTTTCCTTTTACTCTGGTAATGCTATTAGTACTCAAAGTTAGAAGCTGAATGCAACAGAATCTTTGCAGTATTTTAAAATGGCACAAAAACATAACTAGACATAAGCAAAATATGTGGTTAAGTATAAATGCAACAATGTTAAAATAAAATTATATATCTATATCTCTATATATCTCATACACACACACACACACACTGTTACAATAAAGGTTTTTCCATATGTCATATTAAACATACATATTTCTTTCAACAACATAAAGCATATGATGAAAAGTGAATATAAAAAAGTACTCTGAAGGTGAGCTGCATTTAACAATAATTTCTCTTAATATGCTAATTGTTTTCTCAATTAATAAATTCAAAGTTTGGTCTACAAATGTCAGAAAATACAGAAAGATGCCTATCTCAATTTCCTAAAGCCCAAAGTGACATCTAAAATTGTTTGTTTTGTCTGACCAACAGCCCAAAACTCAAATCGATTACTAACAGTTAATACAAAGACTATACTATTAGTTATTGTCATAATAAAGCATATGTACACTTCATTTACCTTGATTACACTTCACTCATATCCTTTAACGTTACTTGATAGCATTATTGTCAGTGTTAGCTAGCTTCTCCAAAATGGACAACAAAGAGAATACAAAAAGATAAGAACAAACTGGACAGACGATGTCAATGCTGTTCTCCTCGAAGAATTGAACCAAGTGATAACAGATGCACACAAGCTGAAGATTTATCAACTGACTAAATCATTGCAAGAAATCTTGAACGAGTCATAGATGAAGTAATGAAGACATACTGAAATATTATCGTGACAGCAGGAAAAGAGATAAGGAGAAAGGAAACTCCCTGAAGAAATCCTTAAGGTGATTTTATGAGACTAAAAGGGCAACCTTTTAGTGGTTTTGTGCAATCAGGTACTCGTTATTTTCCACCTCTGCTTAATGATGAAAGGCAACCAACAAACCAACAAGTGCAATTCTATACCTCTTAGCTGAATTTCCCTTCCATGGCTGCCCAGTGGGTTGTGGCAAGTGCAAGTGTAGTTATGGAGGAGAAAGTTGCTGATATTGTAATCACGAATCTTGAACTGTGTGGTGTCACTGCTGATGTGGTATGTTGTCCCGCTGGTGACAGCCTCGCTGTCTTTGGACCATGACACCACAGCCACAGGCGAGGCGTCACTGACACAGTAGATAGTGACCACTATTTTGCCTTCAGAGTCAACTGTTGTACTCACAGCTGGCAGGACATCCATTGGACTCCCTGGAGAAAAAATATGGTTTTGTTTGGGGTTAGCTACTGCAGTCACTAATGCATATTATGCAGACTTTTTGCTTTCTCAGATTGTTGAGCATTTTCAAATCCATTGGACTGATAAATGGAGATCTGCACTGCTTCCTCCTTGGGCAAAGTTTTAAAAGCATCTCAAAGCACACCTCTTCACCGACACTTTCACTCCCTAAACACAACTCTCATAACCGCCCCCGTTTAAGCTGCCTTGGGTATCTTGAAAGGTGCTACATAAACTTCAGTTATTATTATTAATTGCTAATTATTTAAAAATCAAAAACTTACTTGCAGTGATATTGCACATGTTCTGTTCAATTGGGTGGTCTGCCACGCAAGTGACCGTTTTCCCATTGAGGTTATCTGAGGCGGTGAAGGTCAGGCTGAAGGTCTCCGCTCCACTGCTGGTGTTGCTTAGTGCTGGGAAAGAAAGTTTGGCCTGTGGGGTTCCCCCCAACCACCAACACTCGTACTGCAGATCGACATTATTCACCGAATGCACAGAGCACATTGGATTGTCCAACGGCCTCTCTGTCCAAAGAGAAAATCAGACATTATTAAAGTGAACCATTCATGCACATTTGAGTCCATACTTGCATATATTTTTTAGAATTTAAACAGTATTTTGTCTTTCCTGGCATGACCAAATCATAATTTGTAAGACAAATTGAGGATTGAAGACAAATTCCTGTAAATTAGATGGTGAATCCTATCAGATACAGACACAAACCAGAAAGCTGAAACTCATGCATTTCACACACCATAAACATTTAAAGTCATGTTCTTTCGTCGTTGCTGTTTGGTCTGCTCATTGAGCAGTGTGCATGTATAAACACCTCCTTGAGTGGTCTGTACATATGTGAGATTTAGGACTCCTCTGTGGGAACCAGAAAGGGTCTGACCACCAAAGACCCACTCAACAGTCGGCTGTGGGAATCCCTCGGCCTGGCAGGAGAGACTCAGATAGTCTCCTGATATATAGAAAGGCTGAGCTGGATAGGCCTCGAGTATCGGCTCATCTGGTCCATCTACAGACCACAAAGAATAGAGGAATAGAAGAGAGTTTAAAGAAAATGAGGATACAAACAGAGACAGGACATTAGAAAGACAATGCTCACTCAAAATGGATGCATTGAAGAAGAATTTCAAAGTTATATCTTACACAGCACAGTTACATTAATGTCAGTTGTCACACTGTTGAAGGGGTTCTTTAGTAACACCGTGTACTGTCCTGTGTCGCTTCGGTTTGGCTTGAGAATCACCAGGCTCTGTTGCTCCAACAAGTAATGCGAGTTAGTATTTATCTCTATGCCATTGAAGAACCACATCTGTTCCTCGACCACTCCTTGCAGCATGCTATATTGCAGGGTTAACCGGTCAGTTCCCTCTTGAGCAAAATCAGTCTGTGCACTCAAAATCACATTCTGGATGTTTTCTGTGTAAAAAAAAAAAAAAGTAATGGAACAGGTTGATGAGGTACTTATCATGGCTATTATACCTCTCCTTTCAAATGCACCAAAATGACACTGTAATGTCTGATTAAGATGGCTAATAGGTTTAAGCCGCCATTAAATCCAAACCCCACAACAGCACATCCACAAAATCAGAGCTCAGTCAAGTACTCACCAAATACTTTCAGTGTGAAAGTGGTCGAGGCTTTTCCCAGTCCAGACTTTGTAATTTCAATGGTGTAGTTACTGGTATAGCCAAGCGAAACATTTACAAAGGTAAGGGATCCATGTGGGGCAATCCTGAGCACCTTGCTGTAGTTTTTGGCTATGTCTGGAGGAGAGGGCGAGTTAATAGTCCATGTAAGGACAGGTAAATCTTTCATAAACCAGGTAACCACTGGGTCATGGGCACCACTGAAGGACACAGCCAGAGTCCACATTGCTGCCAGATATAGCATTCACCGGAGCAGGACCAGCAGGGGAAACCTCCAGTTTACAGTATGCACCTGTCAGTGTGGAGCCAAGTGATTAGTTTAAAGAGGAAATATTAATTTTACAATTCTCTAAATTTAGAAACGGATGAGAGCCGTTTATGCAATAACTGCTGATAGGTGGCAAGTGAATACCGTATGCTTATAGTGCATGTTTGATCCTATTTAAATAAGAACAAATAGAATGACCATGGTTCAAGGAAAATCCTAAACAAAAGTGATCAATGTTGCGTCAAGTTTGAAAACTTAAACCTGGATTTTAGTTTTTAATCTTACCTTGAAAAGTCAATTTAAGTAAAAAGGCCAGAAAAACTGCGATTAATCTCCCACATGCATCCAGCCACGTCATTTTAACGAAACAGGACGGCACCGGAGTAGCCTGCTCAGGACATCAGGAGTAGGCAACCCGAGAACCTTTTTACAAAGTAAAGAGACTGCTGATATTCCCAGCACATACAATTACAAGCAAGAAAAGTGCTTGGACAGCAGTGGCTGAACTGCCTGTGTATCCTCCGGCGTGCTCTTTAGCTGCAGCTGTCAGCAGGGCGCGCCACTAACTTGGCTCACCTGTGCTGATTCAAAGCCTTGACTGCGCGCGCGAGACCGCGCCCCTCATGTCATTTCACATACCAGTAGCCTACTATTGTAGCCTATTTCTCTTTCGTTAAAATGACTTCTTCTACTTGGCCTAGGGTAGTCCCAACGACCATAACGACTGTCGTTACAACAGCCAGGAGCACTAACGAACCAGCGGTATCGACGAACCTAATGATCCCACAGAGGTTAAATGGCTGAGTTTCCCTACCTGTCAGTCAGAACTGAATTAGCGTTATTCTTTCAGGGACGAAACGTCTTCTAGTATCTTCAACCAAGTCCAATTGCCCTTAACCTTCTTTGGGTAACTATGACCTGGATGACTAAGAACCTGCACAGACAGATAAAACGTAAACTACAAACAGGAATTAACAAGACTTAATATGAATACCATTTGTAAAGTCGACAGCCTAAGGGCAGTGGCAAAATAGGTCCTAGGACAGAGACCCCATCGCATAACTGCATTAAAAATGAAATCACCATGGGCACTTATCATCATGTGCCCTATTTAAGCGAAGGCTTCTCAACCCGGGTGTAAATGGCTTCCTTGACACCAACAAATATAATAATAGATGTTATACAGTAAGAACACTGCTTTAGCAATAATTCACCAGTTGATCCAATAAATCACCCGGTCTTACCAACACAATTTGTTATCTATCTTTTTTGTGTTAACAAAGTCACTGCATTGGTTCTTACTGTCCTGGAAAGATTCAGTGTGTTGTAAATGACAGTAAAAAGGACTCCTGCACAGTCCCAATCATAAAAGTTCGAATGCTGCAATGTATCCTTACTTTCAGACTACATTATCTTTGAGAAATTGTTACTGTAGTTTCAAAACAAAAGAAATACCAAAAGAACAGTGACAGTGTATTTATAAACGAAAACAACTGGTAGCTTTATTGTCATGGTAATGTTCTGTACAATCAACACAGATTTGAGGCGCTTATGGTAAAATTGTTATTTATGATAATCTTCCCTTGCTCATACTGAGAGACACCGCCTAGGCAGTCCTGAAATCTAGATAGAATTACACAACTATACAAATTACCAGTAGACATGATGCTAATCTTGAAGGTCATAATCCTCAACATGTTCAGGTCCATATTTACATATATCATTTACAAAAACTGTACCTCTTAACATGTGTGACTACAGATATACAAGATTAAACAGCTGAGTCAAGCAACTGTTGGTGAAACGCATCGTACAGGTGGCTTTGATGTACAGTGCAATTCAAACAGCACCATCAATGATGGGAAGTTTATGGGTTTTAATTATTGCATAAAGACTGCTTGTCTAAAGTTAGATTAGTAGCCTGTGATACAGATGAATCACCTGTGTAAGTTAAAAGACTAGATATCCTTTTGGGGTTGTCTGGGTTTGCTGCAGGACAGTGTTTCTCAGTAGTCCTCTTGTCACTCTCTTCAAGCATAACCTCAGGAGTTACAGTCTCAAACAGAGGAGCTAGACGGATACATATAGTCTTCCGGGTGAGCTTATGCAATACAGTCCAATTATTAGTCCTGCAAGGAGAAAAGGAGAATGTAGATATGTAATTCTTAATAAAAACTTAATATCTTTAATTAGTTTTGCTTCCGTCACCACAACACACATAATACTCTTTGTCAAAGCAAGTAATTTGTTTTTTAACAATGAGTGGATGGTGATATAAAGGATATAACATTAATATTCCAAGCAAGCAATTCTATCATTCATCACAAAAGGTAACTCTACATGCTCGTCTCTGCATGCAGCAATGTATCAAGTCATAATCAAGAGGCAGAAGTAGGTTTATCAAGAATAATGTGCGTGTAGCTCAGCTAGTACAGAGTCCCGACCTCCCAACATCCTGTACATATATCTACAGTGGGTACGGAAAGTATTCAGACCCCTTTAAATTTTTCACAATTTTTTTTAATTGCAGCCATTTTCCAAAAATCAAAAAAAGTTCATTTTATTTCTCAGTAATGTACACTCAGCACCCCATCTTGACAGAAAAAAACAGAAATGTAGAAATGTATGCAAATTTATTAAAAAAGAAAAACTGAAATATCACATGGTCATAAATATTCAGACCCTTTGCTGTGACACTCACTCATGTGTATTTCTTCTGATCCTCCTTGAGTTGGTTCTACACCTTCATTGGAGTCCTGCTGTGTGTAATTATACTGATTGGACTTGATTAGGAAAGCCACACACCTGTCTATATAAGACCTTACAGCTCACAGTGCATGTCAGAGCAAATGAGAATCATGAGGTCGAAGGAACTGCCTGAAGAGCTCAGAGACAGAATTGTAGCAAGGCACAGATCTGGCCAAGGTTACAAAACAATTTCTGCAGTACTCAAGGTTCCTAAGAGCACAGTGGCCTCCATAATCCTTAAATGGAAGAAGTTTAGGACGACCAGAACTCTTCCTAGAGCTGGCCGTCCGGCCAAACTGAACAATCGTGGGAGAAGAGCCTTGGTGAGAGAGGTAAAGAAGAACCCAAAGGTCACTGTGGCTGAGCTCCAGAGATGCAGTCGGGAGATGGGAGAAAGTTGTAGTAAGTCAACCATCACTGCAGCAATCCACCAGTCGGGGCTTTATGGCAGAGTGGCCCGACGGAAGCCTCTCCTCAGTGCAAGACACATGAAAGCCCGCATGGAGTTTGCCAAAAAAACACATGAAGGACTCCCAGACTATGAGAAATAAGATTCTCTGGTCTGATGAGACCAAGATAGAACTTTTTGGCCTTAATTCTAAGCGGTATGTGTGGAGAAAACCAGGCACTGCTCATCACCTGTCCAATACAGTCTCAACAGTGAAACATGGTGGTGGCAGCATCATGCTGTGGGGGTGTTTTTCAGCTGCAGGGACAGGACACTGGTTGCAATTGAAGGAAAGATGAATGCAGCCAAGTACAGAGATATCTTGGAAGAAAACCTCATCCAGAGTGCTCAGGACCTCAGACTGGGCTGAAGTTTCACCTTCTAACAAGACAATCACCCTAAGCACACCGCTAAAATAACAAAGGAGCGGCTTCGGAACAATTCTGTGACCATTCTTGACTGGCCCAGCCAGAGTCCTGACCTAAACCCAATTGAGCATCTCTGGAGAGACCTGAAAATGGCTGTCTACCACTGTTCACCATCCAACCTGACGGAACTGGAGAGGATCTGCAAGAAAGAATGGCAGAGGATCCCGAAATCCAGGTGTGACAAACTTGTTGCATCATTCCCAAGAAGACTCATGGCTGTACTAAAGGGTGCTTCTACTCAATACTGAGCAAAGGGTCTGAATACTTATGACCATGTGATATTTCAGTTTCTTTTTTTAATAAATTTGCATAAATTTCTACATTTGTTTTTTTTTGTCAAGATGGGGTGCTGAGCGTACATTAATGAGAAATAAAATGAATTTTGATTTTTGGAAAATGGCTGCAATGCAACAGAGTGGAAAAATGTAATGGGGTCTGAATACTTTCCGTACCCACTGTATATCCTCTAATCACCTGACATTATAGTTGCAACGATTAGTTAATAATCAATTGGTCAGTTGACAGAAAATGAATCTGCAACTATTTCGATTATCGGAGCACCCCCATGACTTAGGGGTTAAGACAACCATGCCACAAAATGTAATTTTCTACGCAAAAACACCAAACATAATTTGGTTTGAGCTTCTTTTATGTGGCAATTTGCTACTTTTTTTCCAGTTCTTTTTCATTGTAAATTGAAAATCTATTACTCGTTGTTGGTTGGACAAATCAGGACATCTGACACAATTTTGTACTGAAAACTGTTGACTGACATTTTCCTATTTTTTCTTACAATGTCTGGATTAAACTATTAATAATAATAATTGTTTGTCGTAGCCCAGGCTGATATAATAAAGTACATATTTACAAATCATTGCAAATTGTTTGATACTACTGGATCCTTGCTAAATACGTGTATTGATATATTCAGTTAGTTTCGGTCAGGCTCTACGCTGGCCGATACAGTGATACTCACCTTTCTGCTAAGTTCTGTACTCCCCTGCTTATGCTCCTAAAGCCTCTATATCCTCCCTGCCTCCTTCAGTTTGGCCACCAGATCAGCCACCGTCTCGACCTTCATCCCTGCCTGTCTCTGTGGGGGCTCATCCACTCTCAACACCTCCAACTGTGATGTGAGCGCTACTCCTAAGTCTGCAGGCTTCATGTTAGCTATCTTCTTTTTCTTGGCTTTCTGAAAGTTGAAACACAGAAGGGGAATACACAGATTCTGTACTATTTTGCAACAACAGACAGTCCATCTAACAATTATGAAAAGGGAATACTGCATAGAATCAAAGTTTTGTATATATTTACTTAAATAGGCTGCATGCCCTTATTTTACGGTTTAATTTTTTGAATACAAACAAGACTATTTCATGCCATCTTCTGGCCTCTTGTCTCTGCTACCTACCATGATGTTAGGTAGGGTGGCGTATCTGGGGGTGTTGAGTCGAAGGTCTGCGGTAACCACTGCCGGTGTGTTGATCCTAATAGTTTCCAGGCCACCATCAATTTCTCTCACCACTTTAACCTTGTCTCCTTCCAGTGACACCTCTGATGCAAAGGTACCCTGCAATATGAAGACACAGTACAAATTCATACAATTAAATACACAAACAATAAGCACTATTGTCAAAACAGACCATCTGGAAAATAGTGAAACTGTTCATAAGTAACTACACTTTAATTGTAACTAATCCTGGGTAACTGCATCTTAAATGATGTGAGATATGTGCTCCATCTATTGGCCAGTAGAACTTCACCTCAACTGTCCAAGCAGCCTTTAACCTACTATGCTGAACTGTGCAGGATTACTTTAGCGCTTACTGACTGAAAACTTTAGTCTCTGCTAACTTTGACATGGCTGGGCAGAGGCTTAGCCTGACATCAGCACTGCTACCTCACACATTTGACACACTAAAGACAAATGAGAAAAATAGAAACTGACTTCCAGTAATACAGACCCTTAGGAGTCAGAGCATTTTAGGCTGTTATCTATGTTTGCTAGGTCCATACCAATAACTGCATTAAAGTTAGAACTCACCTGAGGCCAGTCCAGTAAAGCTGCTGTCATCTGGCCAGTCTGATTGCAGTCATCATCGATGGCCTATGACAGCAACACAAGTCATTTAATGATGGTAACAGTAATGCAAGACCTGAGTATTCATCACAGTTTGAGAGCAGGAGGTATGATCTGATTGTTAACGAGGCTGGCCAAATACTTGGACAAATTATATTTTGATGCTTTGGCAACACTGTTCTTGAAACTTTCATGTCAATCAAGCCCTTTGAATTGAACGGAACTTGAGTGAACTTAATCGTGATTTGTTTGAACCTGTTTTCCAAGGATAACAAGTTGAGCGTCCTCCTTCTTGGCCAAAGCAGCCATGATCTTGGAGACCTGCAGAGGTCCCAGGGTTTCATAGTCTTTCCCAGTCACTTCCACATGAATGCCACGATCTGCTCCCATGGCAAGAGCAGTACGGATGGTCTCCTAAGTGAGAGACAAATACAGAACTTATTAGGGGGCATTAAAGAGGTGGTATTATGCTCATTTTCAGGTTCAAAATCTTAATTAGGGGCTGTACCAGAACAGTTTTACATGGTTTAATTTTCAAAAAACACCATATTTGTCTCATACTGCACATTGCTGCAGCTCCTCTTTTCACCGTTGTACGCTCCGCTTTTGAGCTACAGAGTGATGCATCTTACTTGTACAAAATCTTTGTTGAGAGTTGCACATGCGCAGTTCCCAGGTAAGAACTACTAGCTAATCAGAAGCAGAGAAGGGCGGGTTGTAAGAAACAAGATTGTGTGATCCAAATCAAAGCCGCTTCAGACTGCGACCGTAACCTAACAGATGGTATAAGTTACTCAAGTCCACAGCATCATTGTTCCACATCTTACCATCAGGACTAAACATTGAACTGTTGCCGGTGTTCTGACGATCTATGCTGCCTTGCCGAAAAACGCTACCATAGCGCAAATCAATAGACTCGACTCTATTCGGCCCTGTTCTGTTTTCCGTTGCAGATAGTACGTAGCTTGTTGTCATAGCGACGCCACACACACAACTGCCGCAACGTAATGTTCAATGCGACACACACACCAGCGATCCACACATCTTTCTCTTTTTTAAGTTAAAACATTTCAACATTCCTCAGAATGTAAAGACAGATAAGCTGTATAAAAACCTTCCAGCTGTGTTTTCCTCTGCCGTTGTTGCTGCAGCGGTCTGTGTGACGGCGGGAGCAGAGGGCTCTGTGAGCGGGCGGCTGGCTGGCCTCACACGCCCCTGTCTATATTCGAAATCTACACAGTTGATTTCTCACCTCAAAACTTCTCAGAAGTGGATTTAGTGATGAAATTCCAATACGAAAACTGTAAAATATAAAACTTTCTGTTGCTGGCCTCTGTCTGGTTCACGCAATGATGATGCAGTGAATAGTGATTCTCTCTGACCAATCAGCAGTCTGTCGTGTTTTCACGTCACATTTTAGTGTCCCTCAGCTGGCTTGGAACCTCGACGGAGGTGAAGTCATACGAAAAAAAAAAAGTAGCTGGAATCAGGTACAGGTACAAAATTTCTACAATGGAAAACCAAACAAAGGCGAGTCGAGCCAAAGGGCCTCCGCTCAGACTAGCTTGGTTTGAGGCCGTGCCTGAACCCGCTAGCCGCTTGGCAAGCTTTATGATGCGTTTTCATTGTGACGTCACAAGTAAAGGAAGTGAAGGGCTGGACTACAAACGAGCCGTTTTCAAGCAGTTCAGAGCAGAGCTTTCTGTGGGAGATGGGAACTCCCTTTGGGCTTTTTCACTTTGCAAACCTGTTACATGCACAAAAAAGAGATATAACTCAATAAAAGGAGAGGGGAAAAGCCAAAAAGCATAATACCACCTCTTTAATATAATTGGGTGTTGCTGCTCCCGAATTAAAATATGTTACCCAAAAGGATTAAAACGCATGTAGTAGGGCCTCCAATGTACACCACATTTATCTTCATATTAATAAATGCAACTGTAACTACTTTTTATATTCATCCATGCGTAAAACTTAATTTCTCACATTGACTCGCTCCTGAACTTTGCCCTGATTAATTACAGTATGGCTATTAAACATTATGGACCCGAAATCCTGGTTATACATCACTGGTTGCTGTGACTATTCTCAGTTTACACACATGGGATTCCAACAATATATTTAAATTAGATAAGAAATTATAGGCCAGGCCTGCACTCTGGTTTTGTGTACAGAAAATTAAATTAAAAGTCTGAAACTGCTAGAAAGAACCCTTCCAAAAGTAGGCAAACTTCCACACCACACTGTATTTCTCAAGGAAATTGGTTAACAAGGCAGGGGTGCAGAGTCTGGCCCCATCTCACCACCTGTGCTTGCTGCGGCCCGCAGCTGACAGCCACAACCTCCTTAATAAGCTTCTTCTCCTTTAGCTTGACCGCCTCCTCCACAGCAATCTCACAGAAGGGATTCATTGAGTGCTTCACACCATCCGTCACCACGCCACTGTTGTCCGGCTTCACGCGAATCTGACAGGGAAGAAGGCCGCAGGACAGAGTCACTACAGGGGGTGCCAGATGACAAACAACCCAGATAGCCTGGATTCTAGGGCAAAATGTCAGGCACTCACACAGGCAGTGAGCCGGCAAAGTGTCTAAAAAGGTGAAAAGGCAAGACATAAAACCTTGTCGCTGGCAAAATATGACATGTGTTTAATATGTTCAGTTTTAGATGAGCTCCATCTCCTCTTTGATTGTTCTGCATTGGTTTACTATAGCAAAAATGACATAAAAACTTCCACTCATGGTATTTTGGTAAATAGACTGCACTTATAAAAGCACCTTTCTAGTCGTCAGACCATTCAAAACGCTTAACAATAGATACCATGCAATGTGCACATCAAAATGGAACTAACATTCAGGCAATTTGGAGGTCAGTATTTTGCTCGAGGACACATTGACATGCAGACTGGAGGAGCCGGGGATGGAACCATTGACCTTCAGATTAGTGGATGACTGAGCCCTCCTTTTTTTATATATCAAACTTGTAATCTGGAAAAAGGGTCTGGTGTGCAGGGATTTGATCCTGCAGTCAGATCGTCAGCAGATCGCTGTGCTGTTCAGACTACACAACTGTTGTGATGGGAGTCTTAAAGTCGTTGTTGCAAGAGCAATAGTCAGCTCAGCGGTGGTGCTTATGTTGGGCGATAGGGCATGGCTCGTATTCCAATTCATACCAAAGGAATTTGAGGTCAGGACTCTGTGCAAGTCAAGTTCATCCACAACAAAGTGGAAAAACGTTTTGTCATGGTCCTGGCTTTGTCACAGGGACAGAGTAATGTTAAAACAGAAGAGGGTCTTCCCCAAACTGTAGCCACAAAGTTGGAAGTATACTATTGCCTGCCTATGGCTATTTGCATTGTAAAATGTAGCTTTAAGATTTCCCTAAAACAGAACTAAGAGACTAAGAAAACAGACTTAAGGGAACCATGAAAAACAGTTGCAGACCAAAAAGACACAAATGTATTTAGACAGGGGTGTCAATATGCTAGTGTAGGATTGGGAAGCCCTTAAATTGATTCTAAAGGGAGTGTGCAAATTGTTCAGCCAGGCACTAACTTTAGGTTACACAACTTGAAAACAGCTGCCAGAAAGCTATTCAGGTAACGAGCAAGAAGCCAAATACAGTGTTTCTAACAATAATCTAGACGTCTCATCATACTGCATCCTGTAAAATGACATTGTGAGTTCAGCTGTAGACTGACTGGTTAACGTTATCTGTCAAATGTGTAAACAGTTAGTTGTGCTCTTTGCTCTTGTGCCACAGCCAGCTGGCGTCAGCAGGCTAACGTTAGCTAGCCGAACACAAAGTCAAATAAGAGAGCGCGGGGGGGGACGTGCGAAGAATATTAACGTTACCTTAACGGCGTAGTCAATGACACGCTTGACTCCAACAAGAACACGACCAGACATTGTAGCTGAAGCGTTTACCTAGGCAGTAAGTCAGAAGACTGCTAACGTAACAGAGTCACCGCAATGGACCTTCACTCAAGGAGGAGAGGTCGGACTGATTTCAGGGTGAATCCAGGGAAGGCGGTTGAAAGGACCGCCCACCATTCCAGCCAATGAGAAGCAGACCTAATTGAACGCTCCCTGCACTGATTGGCTGAAACGCAATTGAAGCCGTTCTTTAATTCAACGAAATGTCAGTTGGTGCCGTTGTTTCAGTGAATGAATAACCACAACTTAATTTAAGATTTTTGGCAAAGCGTCTTAAATCCCGTTTAATGTCGCTGTCGATTGTCATTGTTTAAACTCCTCAAACAGTGGGAATTTCAACCAATCCCCTGCATAGATAAAGTGGTGCTCTTCGTTTTTTTGCCCTAAACAAAACCCGAAGAAGAAACGTTCCGCTTTATGTGGGGGAAAGTTCAGGGCAAATAAATGAGGATCAAGTCACTTGAGCTTCAAATGACACGTGAAGTTACACATAACATAAGCATGACTTGGCAACCTATGATCACAGTTTATGATTTTAAGATTTACTTATTTGTTATTTTTGTTTTTCAATCCTGTCTGTTTATTCCTATGTCTTCTAATATCAAAGACCAGTAGAAAAAAACTTATTTTCTTGTATATTAAAAAATATTTGTTTTTGCCATGCTCTTGTTCCGTTTTTCTTCTACATAATCTCTTCATCTCTTGTGCCTGATTTCTTCTCTTTAAATTGATTGTTGTTCCCTTTGTTTTGTATTTTTGAAGTAAACAGATTGAGAGAGAGAAAGAGAGATAACACAGAGCTATAGAAGTATGAAATCATCTGACATCATCATCTTTTCCCAAAACAAATGCAGCCACTTCAGCCTAAAATCCTCAGATTGAACCAATGTATATTGGCCAACCCATTTTGAATGTAGGCATATTTAGGGCAAACCCTTAAACTTCAAATTAGGGAGAGGGAGCAACATCATTCTCAAATTACAGTAATATCTCATTTAAAATCTTGATAAAACGACTAAATAATAATAAAAAAGTAGCCTACAGTTCGTTGACAGTTTACTGTGTACACTAATGCAGTTTTACTAATGTAAAACTAATGCAGTGTTATACAAGAGTCTGTATAACGCTTACCTTACTGTCGAAGAGAGAGGTGTTAATTAACATTAATGAATCATTTACTGAGATGACACTGACAGAGCACATTCTGACATGTGACCACTACTAGATTTGGCTGATTATACTTTTACTAACAGAAATTTGGGATGCAGAACCATGGGCTAATTGTGTGTTTCTACAGTGTGGTATCACTACTTTTACTTCAGTAATAGATTTGAATATTTCTTCCACCACTGGCTAATGAACCCAGGGCGAGACTGCCGTCTTCGTGTTGCTGGAAGAGTTGGCTTTTACTTTAGAACTTATCGAAATAACATAAGTGACTGTCAAAGTAATGGCGAAAAGGCGTTAAAAAAGAGAACCAGATGAAAGACCTTAACAATAAAATGACTTTTGGAATGGGATGTATGAGACACTGCATTTTGCAAGTCACCTTATATCTTTATTCTCTGGAGATGAATAATAATAATAAGGCTAATGTTGTGTTGGCTGCCTGTAAAGGTTTATTAATGCAATGTTTGTTCTGTTCTGAGCCAGATCTTTAAGCCCGTAAAGAAACTTCTGTAACATCAGATTCAAACAAATGATTCCGTATTTTAAATTATTATTTTTTTATTGTGAGAGTTTGTGTCCTTCCCACTTTCTCTTCAGGTGACCAACATCGCAGACTTCAGTTGGTAAAGTATTGAGGTCACAGTGGGTATAAACAGTCGCTTTTAAGGTGTGAACTATTGGTCCCAAGTGAGTTGCAAATCCTCCAGAGCGACAGTTGATGGAGTGGAGTCCCCTCGGATCACCCAGCAGCAGCAGCGGCCTCCATTTTAACTTCGACGCCGAGCAATTCCTCACGTGTCCTGGGCTGTCTCTCTCACATGACCCGAGTGTTTGTTCCCGTGATCAGCACTTCCATCTCAGTCTGTGACACCGAATATCCCTTTTTATTCAAACACTGATGGATATGCTTGAACAGAGTCTGGACAACGCAAGGTAACCGAGAGTCGCCAAAATGGCTAACTGAGACACGCTAGCGACAACATGCTATTTCGGATAGCTAGTTTACGACGCTAACTTAGGCCTGACTTAAAAATTGTTGTCAAAACGAATCCAATCTAAAGACTGTAGTTAAGATAGCAAGAGAAGTGGAAGACCAGTTGTATCCTAGAAGAATAATGCCCTGTAGTGAAAAACATGATCACGATTAGCCGGTGATGGTGCTTAATGTAGAAAACAAACAACTTGTGTTGCAGCCAGTGTTGGTAACCTGAGGACAATAAGTTAGCAATGTTGTATTTTGTTTTACGATGCGATAGTTCAGTTGGTTTACTGGTTTCATGCACAAGTTTGCCATCTGTCAAAAGTGAGGGTCGCTAAATATTTAACCCCGGAATACTCAGGAACGTAGTCGTTAGGTGGTTGCGTATTTTATTTAAACAGAGTTATTTGTGCATCTGGTTTGCAGCCAAGATAAACAAGAAGAAGAAGTTGTCCAGACATCTGAAGGTAAGAATTTAGCACATTTACCAGCTGCTGTCATTGACAGCATCTGGCACCTGCACAGCAGTGATGTGTATATCTTGTATAATACCCCCAACGCATATAACAGGTTGTTTGAACACAAATAAAGATAAATGGGGTGTGTAACAAAATATAGCAAGTATTTCCTTTTCCTGGTAAACTGCAGTGATACATGTTATTTTTTGCAGCTGAACTCAGCTTTGTAGCTGTCTTTTTCCCATTTCCCTTCTTTTCCATTCTCACAACTGGCTTTTCTGTCCTCTTTTTCTCCCAAGACGGAACAGGAGAGGAGCAGACAGCTGTTACAATAGCCAGTGTTCAGCAGGCTGCAGCATTTGGTGACCATAATATACAATATCAGTTCCGCACTGAGGGTGGTCAGGTAAGTAACTAACAGAAGGAAGTGTAACAATTCTTATGATTGGTGTCTTTTTACTATTTCAGAAAGACGCTAAGGGCCCATAATGGCATGTGGGTCTAGAGTTATAGGGTAAGATTGCATCAGCGCAGCCCTCACAACAGAAAGCAGAACACTCCATAATTGCTTTAGATGTCAGGTTGTATACATTTCCAAGGGGTGATTGTGCAGAGACATAATTAGCAACTGACAGAGCTTCACATTATGTATTGATAAATGTGGTTGGAAGGAATTTGTTGCATGCATAGAGCAACGTGACATAAGATAACATGATTGTCAGTAATCATCACTTCACGTAAATATTCATTATTTAGAGTACTCGTTGTGATTTATGTTTTATCATACCGAGTCAACTCACTGTCACCTCACAGTAAAAAAAACAAAAAAACAATCCTCTCACAAACAGTCCTTTCTGTTTAGGGTTTCGTTTTCTTGTAAATTTTTTACCATGTGTTTTATCTGGATGCTTTGGCTCCCTCCTCTACTCCAGAGAGAAGTCAGGAGGATAGCAGGCTCTAAATTGCCTGAAGGTATGAATGTGTGTTTTTATTTTTATAGTCCCATGATTGACTGGTGACTTTTGTCAAGAGTGTCTCCTTGCCTTCCACTAACGTGATATTCACTCCAGCGGTTGTCTGTGACAGACAATGAAACAGTGATGCAAAAAAATAAATTGGAAAGAGCAGTGTGACCTTCAAGTGAGTTATCCTTACTGGGGTGATTTACACTGAAAGGAGTAAAATCAGTGATCCATATGGCTCATGTGGCCCATGTGATTCTAGTCTGGTCTAGGATTGGCATGGGACTGCTGTCACATGTCAGTCAGGCGGAGAGTCACATGATAGGGGGATACAAATACTGTTTTTTGGAACAAGCAAGTTCATTTCCTTGACTTGGTTTTAAAATTGAATCAGTCACATTCTGAAGCATAAGCAGATATGCCTGAAGTGAGATCAATGCACTACTGAGATTAGGACTATAGTGTCAGATACTAGACTTTGCTGAACTGAAGCAATAGATATGATAAACAAATCTACAAGTCAGGTATGGTTTTGAATTGGGCACAGTACACCTGTTGGAGGTGTTACATAAAAAACAACAGGTTGCTCAGTTTGTTTTCCTCTCATTCTCTCTTCTACTTTTGTGTTTTCTGTCTCTAACTTGCAGGTGACTTATCGTGTTGTTCAGGTGACTGACCAGCACCTTGACGGAAGAGATGATGGGGGAGGCGCGGTGAGTGTTGTCTCCACAGCCGCCTTCACTGGGGCTCCTCAGGCCGTGGCTCAGGTACCAAAATCTCCCTCTTTTTTTTTTTTTTAATGATCGAAAGAGAACCCACTGGTGATATGGACTGTCTTCTTTAGTCTTTAAGTGATACCACAGGCTTAGAGGATATAAACTTGTGAAATTTCAGCTTTTATTATTCCAACAGTATCCCTTAAGAAATAAAACCAACAATGAATTGATTCTGCTGATGGGTATTGTCTCTGTTGACACAGCCTGATGTCGCTCGTGCCATAAAACGCCAGTCCCAACACTATTAAAAGCACGCGAAAGAGACATACCTCTGGAAGCATAATGCATTCACTTGAGTAAAAAATGTTCAATCTGTTTATGAATTAACGAGATAGTTGTGTCAGAATTACGAGATAAGTTTCCGGGGGGGCTAGCTCTCTCTTTCTGAATTAACCAGACAACTATCTCAGAATTATGAGAGATGTTTCCATGAAAAAAATAATCATGCCCTGTTTTTCTAAATTAACGTGATACCTCAAAATCTGGAAGAGGCCACGGTTGCTGATGCTAATCAGCCTGACTTTCAAATAACAGATGTTAATTCATAAAAACTGAGAACATTTTTTTCTTTTCTTTTCTCAAGTGAATGCATTATGCTTCTGTGCATACCATTGCACAAGGTGACATATTCCTTTGTTGTGACCAAAGCTGCAAGCATAGGTAATTCCTCTGAGCTTGTCAAACTAGCAAAGCAGTATAAACAGTGAAACACGTGCCTTAGCGTGACATCTGCACAACACAGAGCTACTCACAGAGATTAAAAATGCATTTGTAGAATTGATTTAGAATAAGGGACAGAGTCAGTGTTCATAGCCAAATTCAGAAAATGTTTTTGGTCACAAAATGTGGTTTCATTTGCAGTATACTGATGGCTTAACTGATCGTGCCAGTTATCTCTGCTAACTAGATCAACGCTACATCTATTTCCGCCCTTAATCCCAGCTGTCAAACTTTGCTGTGTCTTGCTTAGGGGTCTAGAGGGGATACTAGTATTGAGTCTGACAGAGACTGAGGTGTGCGTTTACCTGCTGTGACTGCTCCATTGCTACTTGTTCAAGCCTCTCGTCTGTCTCTCTCTTATCTGTCACAGGCTGTGATCCAAAACCCTTTCAGTAATGGAGGAAGCCCAGCAGGAGAGGCGGTGGGAGGGGAGACGCGCTTCGCTTACTTCCCTGCGACCGCGGTGAGCGACGGGACTGTGTCTGTGCAGGCCGCCACGGACCCCACACTCACGCAGGCAGGGGGTGAGTCAGTTCTAACACTTAATTTGGGTTCCAGCTTACCACAGTGCCACAGGGCTGATTTAGGCATTATTTTCAGTGACAAGCAGGAGTGTATTGAGGAGTACCGTAATGAGAGAACAATGACTCTTTTTTTCAGTAGTTGCAAATGAACCGTGATCCTCACAGCTTTGGCTGATGTGAAAGAAAGTAGGAAAATACAAAGTACTGTATATTATAAATGATGTTTCAGCAAATCCTCTCATTTGAGAAGCTGAAACCAGAGACTATTTGGTATGTTTTCCTGAAAAATAATCATTTTTTCAAAATAGTTGCAGACTATATTTCTCTATAAGGTATACCCAGGGTAAAGTAGAACTGGCTATAGAACAAATGTTGCTTATAATAGCTAATAAACATATTTTCTCACATGTCTGTGGCAGTAACGCTGCACAGATTTCTTTCAAGAAGCAGCACATGACACTACAGAATTTCATAGTGATATACCATCTGCCCTGCCTGTTAGCAGCTCGTTACTTTTGTCTCTCTCTCGCTGAGTTTTCTGTTTATACTTGCATCACATGATGCACACCCAGAGAAGTCAGATTGCCTTAATACCATTTAGCAGTGTCAGTTGATGCACCTCATTTCTGATTTGTATGATACACTGTAGGTGCAGCAGCAGAAACCACAAAAACAGCTGTGATTTGGGCGCTTTTTTTTTTTTTTTTTTTTTTTTTTTGGGTGTTAGTGGCTGTCTACTGATGCCACAGAAGGGGAAGAAGACCATGAGATTTCATTGCTGTGGGTAACAGCTGAAGCCAGAGCCTTGCAGGAAGACGTGGGCTGCTGTCTTTCCCTCCCGTGAGCCTGGGGCAGTTTAAGCAGGCATGACACACTGGCTGAGGAGTGCACTGTAGTGTGTAGGTGGAGAGTGCTTTACAAGCTGCCATCTCCTATGAGGTGAGGGTTAGTGGAGGATAGTGCACGGGGCTCCGGCAATGAACCACATTCTGGCAAGACTGGATCCAGGTGTGGGAAGGTGCTTGACCACTCTGTGGAGTGTCACCGCGTTGTCCATGTGCAAGCATAATGGGTTTATTCAACAGTATTTTTCTACCAAAAAATGCCCACTTTTTTTGTAAAGGAGCAATTCAGTTAAAACTGATTGTCACCTTGATTTCAAAGTTAAGAGTTTTAACAAAATAGAAACTGAAGAGGAAAATGGAGAGGCACAAGAGTCACTCATCAGAAGTTTAATAATCTGTGGCGTTACGGCTGTGCTGCGATTGCCGAAGATTATCGCTGCCATTATAGTCGATGAGTGAACCCACTAGATGCGCCTTAGCCGGAGTTGGTGGATTCCTGCGTTAATCTACAGGCTAAAAAATTTAATAAATATTTCTCCTAGATTTTGGGTTGGTGTCTTTAACCAGATTTTAGTTTTTTTAATTAGGGCTTGGCATGTTAACGCGTTGTTATGGCGTTAATGAATTAGTTAATTAACGGTGCCAATTATTTTATCACACGTTAATGCAGTTTTTATTACTATTATTTTGAAAGTCCATTGCTCACTGGCTCTGAATACACATACAGTCAAATCATGGGTCACAGGAGGGGTGGGATGTTGATCAACCTGCACATCACCCACCCAAACAAGCAGTGGAGCTTCGGCAGACTACGTTTTATGCAGCGTGTGGAAGAATTAGCCTAGATAAACAAAAGCAAGACAAGCCATCAAATGCCATAGTGAAGCGGATAGCTCTACACTGCATGCTGATTAGTATTGGGCAAGATGTCGGTCTTAGGAACACGCGCTCGCGAGTAAACTGCAGGCACTCTATGGATAGTAACCATGGCAACTGCTTCTGTGCGCTACACAGCTGTAGCCTATTTAAGTGAAGTTAAAATTATACATAACTTTTCCTGATAGGCCTACATCTAGTTTTGCGGGGATGCTCTGCCATGTTGATATCCTACTTAGTAAACTGCAATAGATTCTGGAAACTCAGCGAGGATCAGTCTCTCTTCCAATGATTTGTGCTGCGTGTCACGTACAAAAAGTTCAAGACAATTCAACTTCAGCAGTGGGCGTGCGTGTCCGTGAGGCGACCACTTCACCTCATTGTAACAGGGACACTACCGAATGTTTATGCTGCTCCCTGATAAAAGAAAAAAAACAAGAAAAACTGCTCAGAAGGTGCCTGTTGTGAGGTTATGATCGTGGCTCTGGACTCTAACTTGTTTTAACAAGCTATAAAAGGTAATGCCCTGGCAGTGTTAAATAGGTTTGTTTTTAGATTTGATTTGATTACATTAATGTTTAAGTTGAGATTTACAAGAAATATTTTATTGCTACTGTGTAAAGGGAATACTGCTGGTAAAAAGCACTTATTTGTTTAAAGTGTTTGCAAAACACATGTAATTGCACTTTTGCATTTTTTAAATGACACGAAAAAAAATATCTGAAACTAATGAGCCCCATTCATATGTCAGGGAGTTATATATCATGTTCTTGGTGATTGTTTTGTATGAAGGCACCTTAGTTTTTAGGCGGATGTATTTAAAATGGCATTAAATTATGTTAGCGAGTTTGTTTTGTCTGGCCAGGTTGGCTATCTGGCTGACCCATGGGAAAGAGATGAGTTGTTTGTATCTTACAGGCCTTTTAGCTGTGCCAAAAGGGACTGTTTCTGCATGCCTTACAGTGGAGTGTGCAATTTTCTGTCAAAAATCAATATTTTGAGTTTAATTCAATGTCTCTGGAGCTGAGAGAAGGGAGTCTTGACAGTTTTTTTTTCTGTCTGCATGTTGATTGCAAATGAGAGCAGCATTGTAACCATTGTTTTGTGTGTGTCCATTTGGATTTAGGATTTTGAGTTTTTTACGTTTGTTTTTACAGCGAATAAACTCTTGTTTGTTCTGAGAGATTTTGTTAGAGTAACAAGAGTCAGTCTTTCATGCCAGGTTGCTCCTTTCTCTTTTTCCTAATTGCTAACTGATGACTGTCACGACTTCCACAGGTCAGTTTTACGTGATGATGACCCCCCCTGATGTTATTCAGACAGGCACGCCACGAACCATTGCCCCACGTACACAGCCGTACCCTGCGTGAGTATCAGCTCTGTCAAATGCTGTTTGGATGAAGGAGACAACATATGGTAGTCCGAGACACTATTTCTGAAAACAAACTAACTACAGTTCTTGTAAAACACTATAATTATCCTCCATGTAAATACCACTTGAAAAAGGCCATTTGGTGATTTCTTAGCTCACAAGTTATGAATTTTGGTTGGAGTTTAAAAGTGGGGCGCCTTGCTATTTAATGCTCTCAATTATGTTTGAGTTTTCAGTTAATTTCAGTTAGGACATTTTTGTCAAAGCTTTAACAGTTTTTGGAACAAAAACACAATTTGAGAACAAATCCGCACAAGCTTGACACAGACTTCTTTCAGATCAAGAAACCCCATCCTGCAAAGCCGGAGATTTTAATGAACATCAACACATATGGAGTGAACAAAGCATGCTGAATTTATGTAAATCTAAATGCTGGTGTTGGAGGAGGCTGGAGAAGAGGGGGGAGGTAAATAGCTGGGAAATGGGCATGGATGTAGTGGGGTAGCTGAGGTGTTCAAGAGAGAACCAGCTCCAAAGCCTGTTTCTGTGGACTACCTGGTTTATCAGTTGGATGTTGTATGGACACAAAACAAGTTCCATAACTATTTAAACTACCTGAGGCTCAGTTTATGCAACATGAATGGCTACTGTAGTTGTTGTTTTTAACTTTTAGCTACACTGTCTTCCTCCAGAGTTTGCTGTGAAGGTTGATTTTACATTAAGGATGTTTAATTTTAGCACATCCTGGCTTGCCTGTTTTCTCCTTCTCCTCCAAAACCTTCTTATCTTGTTTATCTCTAACATTCACAACATGCATCATTATAATCACGCATAAAAAGGGATCAATCTCAGGCTCTCTCCAACTGTTAGCCACATGCTGGTGATTGCTGTTATTAAGATGATCAGCAGGCTCACCTGAGCAAAGACAAACTGAGTTGTCATTTTAATTGCATGATACCAGCCTGGTTCTGGCCTAATGTGGATACTTATTCAGAAAAGGAATTCCAACAAGCTTTATTTCAAATTGAGTTCACTTGAGTGCCAACAACGCAATGGCACACAGTGGTGCTGAGGGCTGTGCTTTTCTTTAAGGTCATGTAACTATATTTTTTCCTTGTTTGGTAAAAACCAAAGCACAGCATTCGTTTTGTCACCCGAAATGAACACATGACCCATTGTCATATTGAGTTAGCACTGACCTAAGTGAGTATTCCTCCATTTTCCACCAGCCAACTCTTGAAATTGACTGCGTTATAGTCATTTAGCTAGAGCAGCTATATGGAGTGACTACCAGTTGTTTTACACGACACAGTATACTAACTGAATGTTCTAGATAGCACATAAGCTCTCTTTTTCCTCCTCATTATGATACTTGTGAAAAAACACACACACACAAACCGGAGACATATGCTACATTATGTCTGTACCTTTTTATCATTTGTCACTTTGTGTATACACCGTATATGAAATCGACAACAAAGGTGTTGACTGCTTCTGTGATTCTTCAAGAACTTTAGATTTCTCAACTTTAAGATTTAAGGTTCTTTTGTTGTGGGCAGCATTATGGGGAGTTCTAGATCCGCCTTAAATTTGGCAGCCGCTCTGCCGTTTTTTGATGTTGCTTGATATTCACAGCATACAACAGACTGCTTTCCAGTCAAGAGTAAAGAACAAGCGTTGTTGCAGTGTAAGTCTGCGAGTGTTGGAGTGAAGTGAACTGCTTTTTCATCTCTCAAAATGCCTATCTGCAATATGTTTGTTTCTATTTATTTCGTCTTACATGAATAATTTATGATTTTTGACACAAGCCTCTGAGATATATTTAAGTATGAACTAATGAACAGTGACATTATCGTTGACATGTGAGTAAAATGAATGAAAACTTCCCACCCTATCTGCCGTTCGCAGAGATGAAAACGAGCTGCTGCAGCATGAAGGTTTAAACTGGTGAGGACAGTTTCCACATTTCTCCCACACACTTCTTTTACAGCAAATGAACTAATCAAATGAGATCACAAGAAGAGAGAAGAAGCACACAAACCTCTGCCCTCCTCTCCTCTCTGCCTCTCCCCTCCCATAAGTCCCTGGTGATTCTTCCTGTTCTTGATGTGTGAGACACAGATGTAGCGTTTCTTCGGTGCTGACCCTGATCCATTGTTGTTAGTTGTGCTTGTGGCGAACGTATTTCTCCATTAGGACATAGAAATTAGGTCATTGTTCTCCATCTGGAAAAATATGGCTTGCTCCACACTTTTAATTTTAGTGTCCTCTGTCATAGTGTGTTTGAGTTTTGTTCTCATTTAGCCTAGTTCTGAATAAGTTAGTTTTATAACAATTTGAGGTTTTTGCCATGATCTCGCAAAACTAACTAAATACATGTCAATTTCACCATCTCTCCTATAATTGTTTGTACAGATGCAGTTCTTGGTCATATAAGGCTCATCTTTGTACGTATCATCCAGTGAGAGAATATCAAGCCCAAGCTGCAGTCACTTGTGTCTCAATGTACCATTCACTGACCCATCATTCATGCACTGGCTTGGTGTAATACTGTAGTATAATGATAGGGGAGGGGAGAAGGAGTAACAATTGCATTTCTCTTTTGAGCAGGATCAATATCAGGCTATACAAAAGTTCCTCTTCTACATCCATGCTTCAAATTATATGGATAAAGCACTTCAGCAGTGCGGTTGTGTACTGCTAATTTTCTGGTTTCTCTGGCAACAATAACTCTCAGGAGCACTTAGATGAGGTGTACCTCTACAGGTTGTAAAAGGAGGGGAAAAGAATTCATCTAGGCCTGTACATTTAGTTATTCATACAGTCATCCCCATTTTTCCCTTATGCCTAAGAGTACTGTTGGGCTGAATCCATTATACAGCTAAAATCCCATTAAGATGCGTTGAGATACAAGAGAGACTGCAGTTTGGCTTGGCTGACTATCTCAAATGGAGAAATCAGCAGTTGAGTTGTGTTGATGGGTCACAAATTCACTGCTGTAGAATAAAGATGTGTCGTAGAGGGACAGACAAGAGACAAGAATGACCTTACAGGACATTATTAACTTCATGCAACAAGATTTTCTTTAGCAAAGAAATTGTTTTTCCTGTTCGTTCTTTTGCATGGGTGTTGATTGATTTGGAATCGGGTGAGTAAACTATTAATTGTCAACTCTATTAATGAGACAGAAACATGGTTGAGATATTCAGTAGAGTAGGCCACCTATCTAATTATATGTGAGCGTGTTATTGGCCTGTCCAGGCCGTGGTGGGTGGTTGGATAAGTCTCCTGTCACGTCTCAGGGACTTAATTAACAGAATACCTAAGGGAAGACACAAAGACAAGAGACAGTTGTGTCATTAGCCGTATGCCCAGACTCCAATAGACAGCATCTGGTTTTCTACAGTGTTGTAATTTTACAGCATAATAAAGCAGAGAGCTTCCTTCAGGCCACACCTGGGAAAAGGGCAGCCAAGAAGAATAAGAAGGTTGGACGGGTCTCGGTATTCCAGTCAAAGCAGCCCAGCTTCAGGCCATTGAGGGCATCAGGGCTGCATATGTAGCCTCATATGGCTGTGCATCTTTCAGTATTTTTACCAAAGGCACTACACAATGTCAGAGGCTCCTTTTTTAAACGGCACACTGGTAGTGGCAAGGGCTGTGAATACAGAAAGGTTTGAATTTAAAGATAACAGTGAAGAATAGTTTTTAATAGGCACAGGATTAGGTGAATTTGGTGGTTTGATTTGTGCCTGACTGTAGTGTAGTCAGAGATGGGGAGATATTGTAGTGTATGAAAAGTGTTTTATTTCCTGTCTGTCGACAGGAAAATGGATGGGCCGCGAACACCAAGAGATGAAAGGAGAAGAGCACAACATAATGAAGGTGTGTAATCAGCTATGATTGTGGCTTTTGATTTCATCAGACAGTGCAACACAATGCAGTGTGGTGCATAAATGGAGCATTTTTGTTCAAATAAAAACACCAAGCCCAGTCAAAATAGTCTATTAAGAACACATAACATTGTGTTTACAGACTGGCCGCTAGAGGCTGCTGTTGAGCTGTCAAAGTCGGGCAATAGTTGGTACCTGTAGTGCAGCCACCGAAATGACAAGGTCTAGGAAATAAAAACCTGGTTCTTTTAAACAAAAAATACCTATGATCTCTCAATCTGGAAAGATAAACGTACCAGGAAGTACTGTTTTTATGAATTTTATATTTTTTTTAACTGTTTGTATTTGATAACATTTCATCAGTTGAGAGGCGGCGAAGAGACAAGATCAACAACTGGATTGTCACGCTTTCCAAGATCATCCCAGACTGCAGTATGGACAGCACCAAGACTGGAGCAGTAAGCAGTCTTATTTGACTTGGCACCGCTGCTAACCTTTTACTGGCACGTGTCTGTTTTAAATGGTCACCGTTCACCTCTGTGACTGCGTGTCTGTCCTTCTAGAGCAAAGGAGGCATCTTGTCCAAAGCTTGTGACTACATTCGTGACCTGAGGCAAAGCAACCAGCGACTGCAGGAGAGTCTGAAGGAAGTGGAGAGGATACAAGTGGACAATGAGTTGTGCAGGCAGCAGGTATGAATATCAGTCTATGCTCTAGTCTGCAAATATTTGCATCAAGTGAAGTTTCCAGGACTTCAATAATGGGTAAAGAAGGTCTATGAATGATAATGTCAAAAATGTCTTTTGAGGTGGTTGGGTGTAGTGGATAAATAAAGCTACATATAATAAGGCATGCCATAGTGGGTTTGCATATGTGTCTGTGAAGATTGCTACTGCATTGAATAGATTAGTTTGCTTTGGAATGCAGTGCAACATCCTTTCACTAAAGTCTCAGAAGCGTGAAATCCACCTAGCTTCATATGTATCTTCATTTCTCCAAAACAAACCCCCTGAGACATCAGCCTGTATAGCTGATCATCACAGCCTGACAAAGAGGATCAAAGAGTTTGCAGTCATATAATGAGAAGTGTTACCTGAAATCAGTGCTTTAAGAGACTGTGGGAATAATATACACAGGGGTTGTGTGAGAACTAACTGCATGCTAATGCACTCAAAGTATTGTGAAATCTTGCAGCTCTGAGGCTGCCACATCTCCCCATTGAATCCCGGGCCTGCAAGGCACTCAGTAATATATTCTTATTCTGATGCTCAAAGCTCAGTATCCTTTCCTCAGTCCCTCAGTGGGGAGGCAGGGAATTCAGGATTCACCCAAGGGAAATGTAGCAGAGATGACATACCTCAAGATTTGATAATCCAGTTGGTTGTGGACAGGGGTGTCTTTGAAAAGGGCTGCACATACTACTCTTTAATCCCAGGGATTGAATAGCCCTGTGTGTACATTACACACAGCCAGCACTCTCACTCTTCAAACGAAAAAGTTTGGTCTGTAAACTTGGAGCTATATTTAGCTGTCACTGGGACGAAAATGTTGATAATGAGATTTTTTTTTTTGTTCTTTGTTCTTAAGATTGAAGAGCTGAAGAATGAGAATGCTTTGCTCCGAGCGCAGCTCCAGCAGCACGGCATCGAGATGGTTGGAGAGACACCACCGCAGTGAAGCAGAGACAAAAATAACAGGGAGGGGCACCACCACTCAGACATAAAACCGACACGGTGGGAAAGAAGGCGAGATTGGGGGGTGGGGGGGGAGTACTTGTCAAGAATCACTTACTTTTTAGTGAATACATCCTTCCCTGGGTTCCCAGGTTGCGATCCCTTCGCTGGCCAATTGTGGCTGTACTTGACTGTTCCAATCCTATTGAGATAAACACCTGTTACAACTCAGTAGAAATGTGCTCCAAGAAAAGATGCCTACTCACCACCATCAGAGTGCTTTACTAGCACTAGCTAAGAAAGAGAACCTCTGCTGAACTCCTCCCTTGTTTTGTATTTATGTAGCGTCATCATGGACTACGATGTTTGTTATTTCATTTTGTTCCCTGTCAGTGTATTTTCCCCCAAATTATTAATTTAGACTTAGTTCAGGCTTTCATTCTGTTTGTGTTTTTGACTTCTGTATTAATATGTTGTTTTTAGCTGCTTTAATTTATTAGTCCGCTTGCTGACAGAAGCCCTGATGGAGACCAGTTACACTGAAGCTCATACACCCCAGAGAAGCAGAATGAATTTTAAGTGAGAAAACATCAAAGTATGCAAAACATTATGAATCTACAGACAGAAATAATGTGACAAACACATTTACCTAGCCCCAATGACAAACAAGGAGATGTACTGATTTATGTATGTCTCATGTTTTAATACAGATGTTACAGAATGTTAGAGCAGATTATTTCTGGGAGTAAACAATCAATAGCTCATTAACTTCATGCTGACCTTTGTCATAATAATTGTCATGACGTGTGTGCAATCCTGGAGCTTGATTTGGAAAACAAAGTGGTATACTTGAATTTGTTGGGCATTTGCTTAACCAGAAAAATGACTACAAACTCAACAAAATCACTTGTAAAGAACCAGTTGACCAGCTAAATGCTGTTTAATTACAAATTGAAATGTACAGGTGTGGAACATGTAGACGACAAACCCAGAGTGCAGGATTGTGGACTGGAGAGAAGTGCAGTGCAAACCTTTGCCAAACTATATGTAAGCAGTGTGGTTTTTATTTTCATCTTTTGTTCATGTATGATTTGCCAGTGTTTCAGTACGTGTAAGAATAATCTCCACATGTTTCATTTCAAGCTGTTTGCTCTATTTTGGTATTGCAACACTTCAAATGGAGCTCAACGCGCAAGGGGGGAGGCACCCTGGAGAGCGGTATTCAAAGACTGCTCACTATGGAAAAGGAGTACACAGAAATTCTGTGTTGCACTTCTTAGGTGAGCACAACTCGTTCTCCACGAAAAGACGGAATAGTTGGAAAGTGGGGAACTTGGAAATGATCTCCCATAACTCTCCACCCACTCAGGCGAACAATAAGTAAACTGCAATTGGTTGTACAAACAGCCAATATTAACATTGTTGATGATTTTGTGAATGAATATACATGATGTGTTTTTGTTCCGCTTTGGGCGATGTGAGTGAAAGTGAAATAGAGCTATCACGCTTCGGAGCCACTTATTAGAGCACGATTGCTTCTCCCTGTGTCAACAGGATCCAGCAAAGCAAAACCAACGCTCAGACCCCTGGCAAAATCAGGCAGACTATCACATTTTAATATCTCAGACTCTGCAAGTTAACAGCTTGTGCTTTGGAAGTGCTGTTCTGCTACTACAGCTAGATTGAAACCTGACATGAATAGTGCAGGTGTCTGGTCTATCAAACGAGGCTCCTAGCCAAAGTTGAATGATAGGTGTTTTTTCCGGTAGAATTTTTTTTACACCTCTGAGAGGAGAGCAGAGAAAGTGAAGACATGAATAATGCTTTGGAAAATGGATGTTCAAAAATGAAAGGTCACTTGTGGCTAGTTCCTTTTTTTTTTTTTTTTTTTTTTTTTTTTTTCTCCTCACATTTCTTTTTTGAAATGGCAAAAGAAATGGGAAAAAAAAGTCTCTGTAGCAGCCTCACTGTTCTCAGGTTAGATTGTAAGACAACTTTTCTAAGTTAAATGGTGGAAAATAAAATGTTCACTAGCTGATAACCTTTATACACTTTGGTTGTGGTTCATTGTCCTTCTGCAGGTCTGGACATATACAAAAATCAATACTTCTTTACTTCTGTCAAGTAGAATTTCGGGTCCCTCATGTTTGTCCATCTGTTAGCAGGGTATCTTAAAAACTAAGAGATTTGAGTGAAATGTGGGTCATAGGCCTCTCGTTTTTTTTTATTCACAACTGGTGAAACAAGTGGCATGGGAAAGCAAAATTCATATGTTGACGTCTTTCTCTATTTTACTGGGTTTTTTTTTAGACTCATGTCTGCTAATTTGAATTTCTTTGGTTTTTAAACTCAGCTACATATTTCATTCAATATCAAATTTAGTATGTAAAACATGAAAGCCCCTGAAAACTGCTTGTTTATACATAGAGAAACTAAGGTTTGTCTATAACCTTAAATATGTTACTAAATTTATCAAAACCACAGTTTTTTTTCAGGAGGCAGAACTAGTTACCTAGTTAACAATCAAAAACTGTCATTAGGACTGTGTGAGTGAGGTTTGATCAGATTTGATTAACTGCTGGCAACACAAGCAAACAACCTTCTGGAAAAAGACTGATGGAGTTTTCACCTAGCGATGGCCCTACAGCTACATGATAAATTTATGACCACAAATCAAGGGTAGGGAGTCTGACTCCTTTGAAAATTTGCACAATTATTCATTGTGCAAAGCTCTAATGTTCCTAGACATGGTAGGTTTATGTTCTCAAAAAATGATTAGCTATGCAGTTAAGATTTATACATCCTGTTATTAAAATAACACATTTGGAGGATTATTCGTCTTTGGAGAAAGTATGCACCCTCACTGGTAAAACTGAAACCAGTTAGTGGTTAGAACACACAGCGGGCACCTTGGGTAAGAAAGATCAATGGTGGATAAAAGGCATATATAAGCCCTAAGTGAGATAGTTTGACACGGCGGGTCAAGGCATTTAAGCATCATTCTGCTGTTCTTAAAGGGAGCAGCCATGATGTGAATAATCTTTTAAGTGCCGACTGGGATGCTGTACTTGTCCAAACAGTAAGACTATTTATAACTTAAAGGCTCATTATCTATCAGTATTCATTAGGCCGACACAATGTGTTAAATTTGCTTCGGTTTTATCTTGCCGCTCTCCCTACAGTGTCTCCAGGCTTGTCAGCTGCCACTCAAACACACACAGCTAGCCAGGCAGGCGTCTGTCTGTCCCTGCCTTTGTTTGAGGTGGCTGATCTCTGATCCCACGTACTTCTCTGATTGGGACATGTGTACCTGTCTGTCTATCTGTCTGTCGGTGTGTCTGCTTTTTTCCACCCCAAACCTGTAAAAGCTCTGATGAAGTCAGTTTGGAAAGAATATCTTAATGGTATACAGACATGGATTTCTCCTCTAACAAATATAAAATGAAGCGTGTACCGGGGGGACGTCACTTTTACCTCTCAGTGCAGATAATTCACTTACAATTAATTGATGTATTAATTGGAAAAGGAAAGTGTCTCCCCATTGAGCAATTTGTTATTGGTGAAATTACACTTAATGGATTTGAAACAGTTGTTTGTGTATGATCAGTACTGAGCAAATGTCTGTTTTCTGTTTGCCTGGAGGGTGGGGCAAAGCCAGCTGTAAAATCCTTCATGTGAATTGGGAAACTCTGTTTTTAATTTGCGTTTAGGCATGTCTACCGAAGCACACGGTTGACTGATTTTCATTGAACTCATGCTGGCCAACACATTCTGCTGGACAGCCACAGTTTCATGTCCTGCAGGCTTGTCTTACCTTTGTGGTTTTTGAGCTGCAGGAGCACACTGTCAGGAACACGTATTGTCCACTGCCTCAGCCTATTTCACATATCCTCTCTCTGTGAGGTTGTTATTTGTTGAAAATGGCTGGCAGAAAGAGTCTTATTCCATCTGACATACAATGCTCCTCATACCTTGTATACCATACTGACTCTCATCTTTCTTGGGCCTACATTAATAACTACACAGCTACTACACAGCTTCTGTCTTGCTTATAATAGTAGTATCAGCACAAAGGTATGTATTGTGCTGCTGTCAAGAGATGGGGGGGATAGGAATGAGCTCAGACTGCTTTTCTTGAGCAGCTGTTAGATTATTTTGATCAAACTGACAGGCAAATTCTGTTTGCATATGTTGAACGACATGTTTGACTTCACCTTAAAGCTCAGGAGCACACAATTTAGATTGTGGAGTGTAATTTCTGAAACTAATGTTAAATATAATATTGCAGAGGATAGACACTAGAATTGTCACTCTGTGATTGTGTATTACTGGAGACTTTATGACCACAAATAGTAACAACAGATAAGAGGTCAGAATTAGATATCAGATGCTACAGTTGTGTTCTCTGAAATTCTTATTTATTTAAATATTTATTAAATTCCCATCATCATTTAGCTCCTTTAATTCTCTCAGTGAGGCCTGATCAGTGTTGTATGGTTGGTGTCATGTACAATAAACATTAAATAATCGCCAAAAAAGGTTTGTGGAAATATACCACTTCAATTTAACAACTGTTCTAGCATCAAAAACATAACATGAAGCAGATAAAATCAAATGAAGGAACCCTGTACTGGAGGATCCATTGCCTCTGATCTTACCTTACACTGATTCAGATTTTAATTCTGGATGCATGTGAGGCCTGGTCTTTACATGGGACGCTTAATATCCTGGCCAATAACCAGATTAACACTAAACAATGATCAAAAAGGGCTAACTTTTCAGGCAGTAAAACATTGTGAAAACCAACTAAAATCAAATGAAAAAACACTCGACAGGTTACTTACATTGACATGACATACATCCAATGCATTACCCTATTGCAAAAAGTGCATTAGACTCAAATTTCAGCTTTAGATCACACATCAAGAGAATGAAGAAAGCAGCTGTCTTTCCTCTGAAATATTGACACGGTGTGGCCTTTCCTAAGGCAGCAAGATTCCAAACATTGAATTTATGCTTTATGCAGTCTCAAGCAAGCTACTGTTGTAGTCTCCCTTAAAATCTTATCAAAACACAGTTGTGCTGTTAGATATCTAACCAAAACTAAAAGATATAGCACACAGTATCACTCCTATATATGTTTTAAAAATCTCTAAATGCACTTTTCCCCAAATCTCTTTTTCTTGATATTGTATCTCTGTTTAGTATTTTGGGAGGCATCTCTTTAAGGATTTTGACAAAAGAGAGATGATAGGAAACTATTATTATTGGCTTATTCATGTATGCCATTGAGATTGATGCTGTTCAAAAATATTTTGGAAGTGCCATAAAAATACTGTATATGCATCTATTTCCACACAAACTGGGGATTTCCCCACATTCACCATTCTCAAAGTTCAGAAACCTATTATACAGCCCCTTGAGTCTGACAAGTGGTATTGCATTTCTTCAACACCATGTCAGGAGCAGTACATGATCAGAGGTCATGACTATCAAATGTTCTCATGTTTATTTACCAGTTGATGTGTTTATGATGTACCAGCACAGGTTCTTTTGTGCCCTAGTTTTGAGAAAAAATGTAAACACTTGGGGCGACAGTCTGGCCGTGTCAAGGGCTAGTGTTTTGGGTGGTGAGGAGTGTTGTATGTGGTGGGTTTTGTAGCAGACAAGCTGACAGAAGATGAGTTGAATTTGTGGAATGTCTTGCAGATCCATATAAAGCAGGTACGGGCAGAGAGGAAGAGGGGAAAATGGTGTGAGAAAGACTTGGGCAGGACAGAGGACGATGGTGAAACAGGGACACAGGGGCAATGCCCTCGACCAGGAGAAAAAGGTAGAGTGGCGCCTGCTGAGGTGAATCTGTCCGCCATGCTGGAGCCTGGCTTTGTTTGGCCAGAAGATTCTACTGATAGACCCAGTGGCTGCTAGGAGACACGCATGCTCAGTAAACACGGGCCAAAACACCCGTGTTTTTGAAAGCCCAGATCTACAAGCACATTTTTGTAATTTTTAACATTCGCACATTTTATGTGTACTATCTTCCTCTCTCATTATGCTCACACACTCAGTGAACCTGGATATAATATTTTTGTCCTGTTAAAGTAAACCACAGCCTGTCATATTCCGATTTCTCATGAGCTGAGTAATGCCCAGTGAAACAACACAAACAACATGACGTGTTCATCATGAGTGGACATGACATGCTAGTTGAAATAGTGGACAAGAGACCCTTTCTGTCTCTCAGTCATTCAGAAACACACAAATAAATGCATAAAGTAAAGATAATGTGATGCTCTCCCTTCACGTTGGAAAAGTATGGGCCAATTCCAACAGATGTGGAGCCATTCATGATTGTATTTGTTGACACTGATGTTGTGGTCATCCAAAGCAAGCACGCAGGCAAGCAAGGTTATCAGTGAACGAGACAGACTGACGCAGGGGTCCCGCGACATGTTGTTTCACTAATTGAGCCAGCAGAGGCAATTTGGAAAGACTTTGAAGGTATAATGAGAATTCAAATGCCCCCTGATTTTATCAGCGTACACAGCCCACCGTTTATCAGTTTGGGCCTTTATTTTGCCTTTTAGTTATTTCATTTCCACCATTATTGATTTTTGTATTTATTCACAGCCTGATGTTGTTGTGGAATAGTTTTCTTACCCTGACAGGCTAATTAATCTTAAGGTGTTTATCGCTGCTTCAGTGATAAGGGGGAAAATAATTCTCACAATTTTGGAGTTGTGGTTTTTCTGTGCAATTGTTAACAATCTGCATTATTATTATGTCAATGTCCTTAAATTCACACTGTTTAAAATATTGACGAACCTATCAACAATGCTGTGCGCACCAGGAAATTAGTAATGATGTTTTAATGAAACAAAAGCAGTTTTCCTTTCATTTTCCTGTCATTTTGTGTGTTATTCAAGAATGATATGTTGAAATAAAGACAGTATAGTATAAAAAAGATAGATAATGTCATGTACATAAAGTCATGATATACAATGGATATGTTTTGTTGCAGGGTGAAACATCACAACAATGCAACTC